CTTGAGGGTCACAAGACAGACCAGAATACAGCTGTGATTTTCAAGAACATGCATGGAACTGAATTGGGGAAAAACCTTGAAAAGTCACCTAGTCAAGTTTTCCTGGTCTTGAATGTGACCTTTTCTGAAATATAAATGTCAAGTTGCCTGGCATTTCAACTTGATATGGCTCTGGCTCTAATTAGTCCTGGTTTTGAGCTGATTGTCCTGCCTGTCACAATTTTGCAGTCCTATTATGGGAGGTGGGTTTCTTCCACTCCAACTTGGAGTCACAGACCCTTAACGTCACTGTCATGAAGTCTGTATCTGAGGCCAGCCCTCCTTGTCAGAGACTGTTCAAAATGGAGTTTCTTGTCCAGTCCATGTCCACCAATGGAATCCACAAATTCCTAACGCAGTTCTCTGTGAATCGCTCCTCTGTTCTGCCACGGCCTGTTGGTGGTATGCACATATGTGAGCCATTGCAGAGAACAGAGGGGCAATTCAAATGCCGGGAACATTTTTAGAATAATGACACTCGGTGGAATTTCACAGAGCCTTGCATTTTAATTTATGACTATGGGCCACTTTTGTCAAATAAAGCACGTATTTACAATATTCAAACATTTAAAGCTTTTGAAAAATGTTTAACTCTTTTGGGTTTGGGTTTGTGCTTCTTGTTAATGTTTACATAATTTAAGTTTGGATGATGGGAAAGCTAGGCTGGAAAGAGAAACAATCCCACTGTACGCTAAGTGATGCCAAGATATCTGGAGGCTCGACAGCTTTGAAGATGAACATCTGCAGATCAGGGCGAGTCAGTCTCTCTGCTCTAATTTATTCATTCATTGCATTTGCATTCATTCATCCATATTCATAGTCTCCCTCTTACACATGAACATAATATAGTATCAACACCATTTCCACTGTAAAGGGGCAAGGTATTCAGCCTTTCTGCTTCCTGATCTCCTTATCTATAAAATAAGGGAGTAGTTTAAAATGCGATGATATTCTGGAAATATTTAGGTAGTATATAATGTCTATTGACATAGTATACAATAATAATAGCAACAACCCAACATATGCTTTCTGCCCACAGATTTTATTCCAACCACTTGATGGTGAAGAGGTCTCTTGAGGGCTCTAACAGGCAGGTTAGAGCCCCTCTGTGCAAGGACTGGCCCCAGCTCACCTGCTCCAAAGCTTTGGGAAGGAATAGAGTTGAGAGAGGTACATGGCAGGATGCACTTGCCCTTATGGAGCTCAGGAGGCCAAGGATAAACTCTTATCCTCAGAGATGTCAGCAGATCAGTCTCTAGGTCACATGCACCTCATGAGCCTTTGCAGATGAAAATACTGGAGAAAAGAGTCAAGTGGGCTTCTCAAAGGCAGATGAGGGTCACATAATGATTGTCCCCAATCACAAAGGGTCTTTTTCATCTGTAGGGGCTCAGTGAAAAAGTGCAGGCAGCACTAAATAAGATCCTTGAGCTTGCCATCCTCATCAACAAACAAGTCTGGGTCCAGGGAATAGGGTGCTAGATGAGTGCTTCCCACTCATCAAGAAACCAAATCGTTAGTTTCTCTTCCAGGCATGTTTCAAAAGCAGATTTTAAAACTATATCTCCTATCTACTTGGAAGTATAACTTTTATAAGAATTTTAGAAATCTTTCAGAAGCCCTTGTCAAAATTTGGATGCAATTCAAGGTAATTGTATATAGAAGTACTATAACCACTGATGTCATATGGAATTCTTTCACTTGGAAAAAAGCCAGAGAGCACCACAAGGGTGCAAGATGTCAGGGACTGCTTCTGATAGGTTTTGAAACATAGAAGCTTTGATTCTAATGTCTGTGTCATATGCTAAACACATGTGCCCTTAACCAAATAGCACAAAAACGGACCATAAATTGTCAACCTTAATGGTTTCCTCATTTCAAAACACATTTGTTTTGTAAGTTAATGCGCTAAGCCCAATATTTTAAGGTGACTACACAGAGTTTAAATGAAAAACATATCAGATATATATGTCTATACAATTATACACACACACACACACACACACACACACAGATGCACTCCCACATACTTACAATTTCTCTGTTCTTTTAAGTCAGAATGAAAGGAGATGAATTTTGCTCGCCTTTGAGACCAGTGTTTTTGCTACCATTGACACCTTTAGGTATTTTGAGGATCTCACCTCCACTTTACCAAACCACAAGGACAAAGTTAGGTGGAATTAAACTTTTCCAAATATCTCTCTTTCTTTACGTGTGTGTGTGTGTGTGTGTGTTTCCAAAAGTTTTCTTCAGAGAAAAAGGCCACATAGAGACTTTAAGACCTCTATCAAAGACGAGAGATGACATTGAAAGTTATTTAAAAGCTGGTGTTTGCTTTTAGAATTTCCTTTATTTTCAAGTTTATGATCCAAGTTCTTTAATTCTAAGACCAGCTCACACGATTTCCAGGATAACACATTTTCCCAGCATCCACAGCAAGAGGTCAAAGAGAAAAAGAAAAGGCAGCTGAGAGTGGGGGGGTGGGAGGGCAGGGAGACAGAGGCAGATCCTAGCCAATATTCTCTCCTCCCTCAGCCAGGAATGAGCTGTCAGCTGCCTCCTCCCCTCAGCCTCCCGTGTGGGCTAACAGAGATAATGAGTCTCCTTTAAGACACATCTCTGGCAACATGTTGGTTGTTTCAAAAAGTAAAATAGGCAGCATAAAATTTTGAAGGAACACATTTTTTCTTGACTTTCCCCCTAAAACGTATATGATAGCAAATACAGGGGACTTTCAGGGAAAACCAGTATATGGAATTATTTAGTAAATGTTTTAGCTTGTATGTTAAATAACCTGACATAGTAGAATATTCACAAGAAACAAATTTTAAAATGTTCTCTATCTGTAAGTGCCTGCCTTTATTATCATTGCTAAATGTAGAGCAGTAGCATAATAGTATAATTTAATATAATACAATGTATACTTATCTAAAATATAATAACCTACTCAGTGGAAATGTAAATGATCATATTTCCATTAGAATACAGATACATTCCAATATACATTTAATAGGTTTTATCTCATGCCATATATTAAATAAGTTTCTACTTTCCTACCTGAAGGAATATTTACGTAATAACAAAAGATTTTACCTGTGCTCCACTCAGAGCAGCAAACAACAAGGTTCACATAGTGAAATGTCTTCCTACTTTTTTAATTTTAACACTTGACAAATGACTATGCTTTAAAGAAAAAAAAGAACACTTCCATACCCAAGTTCAGTATGGTTTATTGACACTGTCAAGGTGTGTTAGAGGACTGGATTCAGTTCTGAGTCAGACCAAGCCAGAACCTTGATAAAAGTATCGCAGGTGTGGTCCTCCCTAGAGTTTACACAGTACTTTTAGACACAGCCTCTCCCTGGGCTCTCATGATTATGCTAACAGAGACAGGGAGAAGTCAAGCTGTCCTTTACAGACAATATTTAGTGCCATGGGTCTCCCATCTTTTATTGTCCTGAGGAGAAGGCAAAAGGGTCCCCCCTGCCCCATTGTACAGAAGCATCAGCAAGGTGTTGTCTCTCCCACGCGCTGGGGCAGAGACCAAAAAATCAAAACAAGTTGACATTGAATAATTAGAACATCTCTCTCTCATGACCTGGAAGCACTTGAAAAACTAAGTAGATATGTTTCTAAGGACATATTTTCTCTTTAGGGTAATATTGATCATTCATTCACTTTCCATTCATTCAACATGTTATACAGCTCCTATTGGGCGGCACGCTTACTTCTGGTGCCAGGAATTTAGCAGGAATCAAGACAAAGAGCCTGCCTTCAGGAAAACGTACAGTCTCATGGAATACACAGAACAGTAAATGAGCAAGCTGGCTTGAAAAAGTGATACATGCTCTGGAGGACATACACAGGGGGATGTGAGAGTGATGAATGAGGGGAGAGACGATTGTTCTTTGTTTAGGCAGTCAGGCTCAGGTTAGGCAAGATTTGAGCCACAGCCTTAAGAATGAGCCATCTTGACAGAGTCAAGACCCAGAAGCAGGAATGAGCTGAAATAGGGCAGGCCCGTGTCGCCGGCAGAAGGTCACTAAGGAGAAGGGGCAAGAGCTACAGTCAGCTCATGAAGGGACTCATAGGCCATAGGAAGTGGTAGGATCTTGTTCTAAGTGCAGAGAGAAGCCATCAGAGTGTTTTTTGAGAAGGAAAGGGATATGATCTGATTCCTGGTTTTAAAAGACAGCTCTGCCTAGCAGGTGAGAGAAGGGCTGAGGTAGAAGAGGGAAGGCCCCTGAAGGGGTTATTTTAATAGCCCAGACAAGTGATGATGGTGGTCTGCCCTGGCAAACCAGAAGGAGAAAAGCGGCTAGAATTAAAATATATTTTGAAGAGAGAACTGACAGCATTTACCAAAAGACTAGACATGGAGGGAGAGGGAAAGGAAGGGGCAAGAATGACTCAGGTCTCCTAGCTTGAGCATGAGTTGGGTGGTGCCATTTATAGGCTTATGAGGTGAAAATTAAAATTAAATTATATTTTGGGCCTTAGGTTAGAGATGTCTGTGAGAAAGCCAAGAGAAGTTATACGGTAAGAAACTAGATGTGTGCAGTCAGAGCTTAGGGGGAAAGAGAAATTTGAAAGGCATCAGCACATGAGTAGTAGTTAAAGCCATGGGGCTGGATGGGATCACCTAGGCGAAGAGAGATCTAGAGGAGGGAGGAGGGCTCTGAACCACACTCTGACTTTGGTACAGAAAACAAAGCAACAAAGGCACGTGAGAGTTGCAACCAGAGAAGCAGGAGAAAATCCACAAAACTAATCCACATGCTCAAACTAGTGAAAGTTCCCCCAGGAGGTCCATAGGTGAAGATAAATAACTATCAGTTCTTTAGACCACCACTCCTCTATTATGTCTGATTAAAAAAAAAAAAAAATTCACCTTTACCAAAGTCACTTACCTATCAGACATCTTCTTAGAAGCTACTATGTTACTTGCTTTAAAATCTTACCTTTGCGCCAGTGTCCCCCACTCCACGTAAGCCCATTGGCCCAGGGGGCCCTGGTAGTCCCCGAGGTCCCTGAGATGACATAAGAAGGAAGAGAGTGAGTGTCCTTGTCATGTGCAGCGTTTATCAAGAAAGAAAGAAAGAGGAGGAGGGAGGGAATGAAGGAGATGACAGCGATGTCCACACTTACAGCCACACCAGGATAGCCATCCCCTTTGAGTCCTGGAGCACCCACTGGTCCACGAGGTCCTTGGGCCCCCTGCGTAAATTCAACACCAGGTGACATCACAAGACTAAACAGTGAAACACCTGGCAAAACTTGAGCACAATACCAACTCTCTATGGCAAACGTGCACTTGAGAAGTGCAGAGGAATGATCTGAATAATTTTAGAAGGGAAGTCTACCACCTATGGCAACTTGTTATAAGTCTCTCTTCGTAAGTCTTACCCATTTGCATTTGGTAGGAAGCGTGGAATGAATATAGGGAGTAAATGGGAACCATTACAAAATCCTCTATAGGAAACACATTAATAGGAATTAAAAACGACTGATTACTGATATTCTAATTTTTTTAAGATTTTATTTATTTGACAGAGAGATCACAAGCAGGCAAAGGGGCAGGCAGAGAGAGAGGGGGAAGCAGGCTCCCCGCTGAGCAGGGAGCCCGATGCGGGGCTCGATTCCAGGACCCTGGGATCATGACCTGAGCCGAAGGCAGACACTCAACTGACTGGGCCACCCAGGTGCTCCTGATATTTTAATTTTTAAAATTACACTTTTTTCGTATCATAAATTATAGACAAGTATAAAAATGAGAAATTTTAATATGCAGAGTGTGAGAAGAGAAGGAAAGAATACATAACAAAATCTCAAGTGTAAAATTTTGAATGTCAAGTAAGATAACTATACACTACCCATTGTTAGGTAAGATTTTTATTGTTATGGTACATCTATTGTCCTCTCCAACAAGGCCCAAATTACACAGGGAATAAATAAGCCCCCGTGAAAATTAAAAATAGATTATTTAAAAAAAAAAGTTATAAATAGATAGGACACAGAGTTTGTGATTCATATCTTAAGACCTAGAAAGAAGTCCTAAATATTGCTTTACATGATAACCTTTGGCATCAAAAACTTTAGTAGCTATAATCTGCCTCCTATATAGAAGATAGGGTAGTGTGATTACTGCCTTCTGAATAACAAAATTTTCTGAGATGTGTTAACTCTCCTTGAGATGGAACTCAAAGGCTTTTTTCTTTTTTTAGAGAATGCGAATGGACCGGGAAGCAGAGGGAGAGGGAGAGAGGAGGGAGAGAGAATCTCAAGCAGACTCCCTGCTGAGGGCAGAGCCCAACGCAGGGCTCCATCTCATGACCCTGAGCTCGTGACCTGAGCTGAAACCAAGGCTTGGTCACTTAACCGACCAAGCCACGCAGGTGCCCCACAAATCAAAGAAATCTCTGGCTAAAGTAAAATGGAGATAGAGGAAGAAAAAAATGTGGAAGACTCTCTTAGAAGATTTAGAAAATATAAATCTATTATGCTATATTTAAAACATGTAATTCTTTCTGTATCACATTCTGTTACTGTGATAACTCTTATAATGGCCCTTGTCAACACATATAAATTATTTTGATTAAAGGCTGTTCATATTTCTAAAATATTTATGGTTGGGAAGAAACTAACAATTGGCAGAACTTTGTGTTGGAAAAAGTAACAGGACTCTCCAAGCGTTCCTTATATGCAAGGATCTCACATTCTGAGATCAAACTGCCATTATTCCAAGCCAAGTGCTACCCCAAATCCAACTCCCAAAAGCTGTTCCTAACTCTACTTCTAGGAATGAATGCCTGACTTGGGGGCGGAGGGGGAGGGGGGCAGGGGGAGAAAACTGCATACTCTTTAAGCAATAAAAAAAAGTTAAGTTTATTTTGAAAACCAGGAATAGAATAGCTGTTTTTTCCTATTAAATCTGAGACTGGTTTTCTGTGATGAACCCTCTTAAGAATGATCTTTAGAAAACACTCGGCCACTTATAAAAATTTAATGTACTATTTATCCTCAACAAAAACACAAGATGATCTCTTCCAGTTATGTGACAGCAAAAACAAGTTCTTCAGGAGAGGTGAATTTTGGCATACCCTCAGCCACAGAGAACTAACCGATCACTTCTCAGAAGCAATTTATTGTGCTATTCCATATTTCAGAGTAAAGCTCTAAACATTCCAAGTAAGATACCCCTTTCTTTCCGTGCTTACACGAGGAACAGGCCAACAACCAAACAGAGCAGTAAATGGTCCCTGGTTAGGTTGAAAGGAAAAGAAAACTGGTATCAGAATTCACTTTCAGTTTTTATTTCTAAGTTTTAAGACTATAACAGATTATCAGCAGCTGTTACCGTTTATCCTCTGGCACCCACATTGGGAGGAAAAAATGTTAAAACATTTATAGTTTACAACTAGACATTTTTTCCCTAGAGATCTTTGTTCTGCATCTTGTAAAAATTTCAGTTAGCTTGTTACTTCTCATGTTCTTAGGAAATATCGGAGGCAGGGAGAGGAGCACTGTTCTGTCTCAGATTTTTATTCTGGACTCCTCGCAATATTTTTATAGGTAGAATTTTTGTCACTTGGCCTTGATGCCCTGGATTCAAGAAAATGTCCTGCAGAGTGATTCCCTTTGAAGTGTCTCTCTCATTCAACAGAAAGTAAGGCAGAAATCTTAATCTGGTAATAATGGGCGTTAGGGGAGAACCTGGGAGCTCCCTGAAGTCATATGCAAAACTGAATTATGTGTCAAAACTTCCATCAGACATTTAACCTTTCAAAAGCTTAAAAAAGAGTGCACTAGGGAAGAATGACAGAAAGAGTATAGAGGCCAAGGGATTATAAAAATTATGGAGTAAAGAAGTAAATAACATCAATTAAGTACATCACCAATAATGCCAATGACAATCAGTAAAAAAAGGGGGGGTGTGCTTATAGATCTAGGCTGCACATTTAATTGGATTTTATTTTTATTATAAAGAAAAGTATAGGTGGAGAGAAGTTGCTTTAAATCATGGAACTAGGAATATGCGGATTCAGGAAGTTATCAAACTATATGAAAATTTCCATCCAAACATTCTTGATCAAGGCCATAGCTGTAGTTTCAGCACTAGGAAATTTGGAGCTTTTTCTTTGCCTCATACATAGCTTGGGTTGCCATGTGCCTCAGGGTCTGGGGTGTGCGATGACCACCTTGTTCTAGTTTGCCCTGGACTGGCTCTGTTTTAGCTTGAAAATCCCACATCCTGGAACCTTCTGTGTCCCCAGTAAACCAGAAGATTGTCACGCTAGCAAGGACAACTGTTAAAGTGATGAGGAACAATGGAGGTCAGGATCCTCCCTTGACTTTTAAAAGGAGCACTCCAACTTAACAACAGTATGTAGTAGGTTTTGCATTATATTTCAAAGATGGTTCTAAGTTTTCTTTTTTGAAATTCTGAAAATCACTGATGTTGGTACTTAATCCCTTTTATCCAGAAGAGGCAATCTGATAGAACTAAAGCCAGTTTCAAGACTACATAAAAACATGCTACTAATTCAATACAGTGCTGATTATGGAGACCCGAAGCCTGTTCTCATAAACAGGGATGGGATGTGTTTGTGACATTTGGAATGTGAAATTTTGCTGTGATGCTGGGTTTTGTGTGAGCAGGGAAATGGTGCTTTGTTGCCATGGAAAATAGATATGATTACTTAAAACTGTCATCTCCTATAATTATTTGCATTTTCATTTAAAATAACTCTGAAAGATGGAAAACAAAGCAGAGAAATTTAATCCAGTAAAGCTTCTAGACCACATGAACTTTTTGGATAATGTTTTGCAAAAGAGATACGTAGGCCATTAGTATGTAAATGAAAGAAGTTATGGGTCATATAATCTCTTATACCACAGACATTACAAAAGGAGCATTTTCAAACAACTCTTTAGTCATCCAAAATCTAACCACAGGAGCTATCATTCCTCCTCATTTATGAAAAATGAATGATCTGATGGCTTGATTTTTAAAAACGATGGTAGTGTACTTTTACATTCCAATTCATCAATGTAGAGTGAGTAGAACAGTCTCAACTGTCATTTTACTTTGCATTAATTCCCCTTTCCCTTCCCTCTTATAGAGGGGGAAAAATAGGAATAAAGCCTACCTTTGACTCTGAAAAACAAACTGAGGGTTCTAGAGGGGAGGAGGGTGGGGGGATGGGTTAGCCTGGTGATGGGTATTAAAGAGGGCACATATTGCATAGAACACTGGGTGTTATACGCAACCAATGAATCATGGAACACTATGCCAAAAACTAATGATGTAATGTATGTGACAAACATAACATAATAAAATAAAATTAAAAAAAAGAAAAGCCTACCTTTGGTCCTCGAACAGCAATTCCAGGTTCTCCTTTAAATCCAGGCAGCCCGGGTCCTCCTCTATCTCCCTGCACATTTCAAATAATGTTCAGTTTCAGGTCTTAAATGACAGGAGAAACCATAATAGCACAAAACACAAAAGAGATGGGCCAATTTATAAAGGGTTTAATCTATCAGTCTCAGATCTGGAGGTAGTCGCTTCTTCTAATATATTTGAGGGGGATTTCAAATCCCAAGCAAATGAAACCTGTCAGTAAGGAGCATGACAGCAGTTTATAGAAAGCCCCCTGAAATAGGCGGCTATCTAGACTCAAATATTTAGACTGTAAGAATGCCTGGGAATGCTCTTTTTTTTTAAAGATGTATTTATTTATTTGAGAGAGAGAGAATGAGAGAGAGAGAGTACATGAGAGGGGGGAGGGTCAGAGGGAGAAGCAGGCTCCCTCACTGAGCAGGGAGCCCGATGTGGGACTCGATCCCGGGACTCCGGGATCATGACCTGAGCCGAAGGCAGTCGCTTAACCAACTGAGCCACCCAGGCGCCCCTGGGAATGCTCTTAAATCTGAGCAGTTTTCTTTTCTGCCAGACTTTCTGATTATTAATCCTACCAGATTCTTCTGAATAAACACAATAAATTTTTACCTGCATTAGGGTCTAGGATTTGGTGGAGGTAGTTCATGGTGAAGTGACAAGTTCAAGACCAGGAACAAGAAATCTGATTTCTAATCTTAAATTTCCTGCTAGACTTTAGTTTGCTTAATTGTGAAATGTCAGGGTTGGACCAGATAATATCTTGGGGTTCTTCCAAAACTAAAATTCTAGTTCACTGGTATCATGAATTTTTTCCCTGCACCAAATGCCAAAGAGCCAAGTTATAAGTCAATCATTCATTCATTCACTCACTTCCAAGAATGCATACCTTTGGCCCAGGTGGTCCAGGAAGTGATGCTCCAGGCATCCCAAAAGGGCCCATAATTCCTGGTTCACCCTAAGAAAAGAGCAGAATACTCATTACATTACAAGGAAAGAAACCATATATAGGAATTATATTAGGAAAAACATAGAAATGTATTCCCAGCATTTCAAAATATTATGACCTGTTTCACAAACCAATGTGAAAATATTTGAACATTTTTGCTAAACTACTACTAAAGTTTTTGATGATTAAGATTTCAGGGCCTTTAATAAATGCATTCAGTTTCTGAATATGAGGAAATTTTTATCTCATGTACATTCTTTTATTAGCTAATAAAAATTACGCAATTCATGGTGCTTCCCTTTTGTTTTGCATGCCAGGAAGCTCAGAGGGAAATGTTTGTTCAATTACAACAATTTTCTTCAACATAAGTTCCTGGGTATACGTGGTAGGTAAATAATGTTCCCTGTAGTTCCTTCTAACTTTTTCCTTTGTTATTTTATTTTATGGCCCATGGTATATCAGTCTTCTATTGTATCCTAGTTCACATCCCTTTTTAGAAGTAGGAGTTTATGGTAAAAACAACGGAATTTTGAATAGAAAATTTAACACATCTTTTGTGTGTGTGTGTGTGTGTCTTGATATCGAATCTCAATAAAGACTCAAGCAATATCTCTGTCCCATCTGGCTCTAGACCAGTGATCCTCAAATCATCAGAGGAATCTGATAAAATACAGAGTCAGGACTCAGCCCCAGAGATTTTAATTCAATAGATCTAGGGGCTGGGCCCAGGAATACGAGTTTTATGAGGCCCCCTGGGAGTTCTGATATAAGTACAATTACCTCATTTAAAGACACTATGCAAAGCAATTGTCATTAAAAGAAGGTGCACACACCCCATCAGGTGTTCAAAATGACCCATTTGGGATACTGGAAGAAAATATTAGGGCTTCATTATAAATTTTTATCTTTTAATTTTTCAATTATTTATGTAAATTTCACAGCATATTAATATAGTTTATGAGGAAACACTACAATTGAAGAATAAACCTATATTGAAGTGTGGTCAAATTTGTTTTGACTAGTAGGGATTTGTTATCAATCAGTTTGGAAACTACTGATGGAGGACATGTGTGGCAGACAGACCGTCAGGCCGCATATGGCCTGCTGCCAGGTTTCACACAGCCGTGGGCTAAAACTGGTTTTCATGTTTTGTTTTGTTTTTTAAGTAGACTCCATACCCAATGTGAGCCTTGGACTCATGACCTTGAGATCAAGAGTCACATACTCTACCAACTGAGTCAGCCAGGAGTCCCGATTTTCACATTTTTAAATGATTGTTATTTAAGTGACTACATAATACCCTCAATTTTGTCCCTTGGCCACAAGGCCTGAAATATTTACTACCTGTGCCTTTCCAAGAAATGTGCCTCCCCCTGCCTTAGAGACTGAACTGTCTTCAGTGGTAGGAGCTGCCCACTTGGCCCCCCTGTTTCCTCCGGGAGGAACTCCATCAATCAGATTCACCACTAATGACTCTTGCCCTGGACCACAGTTGCCTTCACAGCTGAGGCCTCCCACTGTGCTGATTACCCAGTATGACCCACAGGCTGAGCACACCAGCCCACTGGGGCCCAGCTCATGCCACACATGTACATGCCAAATCTTTAATTCCAAACCTATAAGGCAATGGCACATGACACAGTCGGGATTCTGGCAACAGATAACCACCTGATTCAATCCCATGGCAAAGGAATAAAATATCAACCTGTTAAAATTCTCACTAAACCAGGGTAAGCAAAATTATGCTTCTAGATTTCATCTATTCCTTTTTTTTAAAAGTCAATTACTTTTAAAATATGAAATTATACATGTAAATAGTATGTAATTCTTTTAAAGACCCTGTATTAAATTGTGATTATGCTTTAAAATATGGCAGTTCTTCATCAAAAAAGCTGTATTTCAAAATACAGAAAAGTACTCTTTGAAGAACAGAGTAAGACATAAGGAAAAACCATTGTTATTAATACTAATATAACACTTTCCTTATATAGTGGCCTTCTTCATCATGTGCTCCTTGAATTACCTGTAGCATAGGGCACTTATTTAAGAAACACAGATTTCTAGGACCCATGCACTTACTAAAACTCCCGCTGTCTGGGCATGGTGCCAAGAAGTACAGCTTTTGTAACGAGCTCCCAGGTGATACTGATGGACACTGAAGCTTAATGACTTGTCGACAGAGGATGATTTGTTGTCTACCTGCTTTTATCTGGCCGGGACCGTTTTTGTGTGTTTGTTTCAGTAGTCTGGTCCTTCAACGTACTGCCTGTCTCCTTACAATTAGCATCTTCCTAGAAGCCTGAACTCTCTTAGGTTTGCAATTTCTATTTCCTGACACATCCAGATGACCTCAATATTCTCTCCTGCTAAGTCAGGACACACACCTGATTGCTGTCTCGCAGTTTCCTTTACTTCATCCTCAGCATCTGGTCCTGGTCAGTTTATCAGGCCATATACCCCATACTTTCCATTGCACAGTACTGATTTTTTTCTTTTCTCTCTGAATAGCTCCATGTACTGAGCACTTACTATGTCCCAGGGACAGTGCTCAGTGCTTTACTAACTCTTTCAGTCTTCACAGCAATCCTGGGAAATAGATACTATTATTGCTTTCTATGATTAAAGTGACTGGGCCCAAAAGGTTCCAGGTAGAGCAGGATGAGAATCCTACACTCCTGCATTCTGAAGCCCTGCTCCTCATCATCCCTGTGTTACGTCTCTGTCTGGAACCGTGTTGTTTAGCAAAACAAGATGGAAGAGAATTGGTATCTTCTACAGTCCTAACTCTATCCCAACTTCTGAATATTGTGTGGTCACTTGAGAGAATGGACATACAGATTGTCTCTAAGAATCATAAATGCTCCAATGAAGATCACATATTTTATGGACTCTTCATTCCATCCGATTTTGCCCAGACTAGCATGTTTTCTAAAGCCTTTTTCATTGGGATTTGTTGAGAAGGAACCAGGGACTCCAACTTGCAGTGGAAATCTAATATTCTTTTAAAACCAGACACAATTACAATCTCCCCAAAGCATCAATGAGAATATAAGAAACATACCTTTGGCCCTTCGGGCCCTGGAAATCCCCTCTGTCCTTGATTTCCTTTGCTCCCTTTCCTTCCTTCATCACCCTGACAAAATAATTATAAAAATACAGTTGTATGAACAAACCCTCCTTGTTCTGACAACAACCCTATCAGGACCACGTTCTCAACTAACACTGATTTTCAAGCAATGTATCCTAAGTCCAGCTCAGTTTGTACAAGATTTGTCGATGTTCTTGAGCAGACTGGGTGACTTCAGAATTGTTCAGTCTTTATCATTTATTCAATATGATTTGATGTTTTTTAAATCTAAGTTCAGTGTCTCTCTTTGGGGACTTTAACTGGAATTCACAGTTCTTTGGCAGCATTGGTTTATTAACAGATGCTTCTGAGACATTGGCGGTTTCAGAAAAGACAGCTAGCTACCTGTGCTTTTTCAGCTTTAATGCTGCTTGAGTTTTAAAACATAAAATGAGATATTTTCCAAGATAGAAACAAACGGGTGGTTGCCAGAAGGGAGGTGGGTGGAAGGATGGGTGAACTGGGTGAACTAGGTGAGGGGGATGAAGAGTACACGTATCTTGAGCACTGAGAAATGTACAGAATTGCTGGATCATTATATTGTACCCCCAAAACTAATAAAACACTGTATATTCACTATACCTGAATAAGAAAAATTTTCTTAATTTTACATCCATAGATTGTAACGGTGGCAACAAGAAGTAAAGCATGAAATAGCTAGCTATATAAAATGTTACCACTAAAAACCCCCAGGTTTTTCAAACCCAGCCCCATTTCTTCCTCAATAAGGAATCTAGTTCTGTCTCCCAAAAGAGACCGATAATTCTATTGGCAGAAAGACGCATGAGCATTAACCTGGAGCAGAGTAAGAAACTGCCGACTGGCTGTTCCCCCGGCCTGGTTGTGTAAGCTGGTACTTCCCTGAAGGAATTTTGTTACATTCACCCAGAGCCCTCAGAGTGTTACAAAACGATCCTTCAACTAGGGCTCAACTGCAAGGTACCATACCAAATGTGGCTCAACAAAGGAATAACTTTCAAGTTATTCCGGGGGGTTTGCAGCTGAGGGCATTGAAACATTTATGACATAAATGCCTCTACCACCATTTTCAAACCTAAGCGTGCATCAGAATCACGTGGAGGGCTTGTTAGCCCACAGATTGCTGAGCCCCACATCCAGAGTTTCTGATTTAGTAGGTCTGCATTGAGATCCAAGAATTCACATTTCTGACACATTCCCAAGGTCATCAGAAATGCAGACACTCCCTCAAGAAGAGGTGAATTCCTACCGCATCTATAGATTGTAATTAACTCCCAAGGTCCAAACTAATGAAGAGCAGTGACACAGGTGATAAAAAAAAAAAAACATAACAGTTGAATGTTATTGTATCCTTAACTTATCGTATCCCTATCATTTGCCAGCCGAGGCAAAATCTAACCCCAACTAGTTATTTTCTTCCATTTACTCCCAAATTTAATTTACTGTCCTAAATAACCCAGAAGACAACAGTAGGAACCCAATGAAAGGTAATAAAGTGCCAACACTGAACCGTAGCATGTCTGGGCTACGTAACAGATTCCTACCTCTCTTCTCCCTAAACTTCCATAAGCCACAGAACCCCTCAGAGCTACAAATCCAGTGCCCTCTCTTTCCAATGCATTCTCCTTGCTCTATAGGTAGCATTTGACACCACCGATTGCTTTCCTCTTGAAACCCTCTCACCTTAGTTTCCCTAACACAGTAACTATTCTGCTTATCTTCATGCTGGTCTGAATGTTCTTTCTCCAACTACTGCACAATGTGGGATTCAAACCTCAGCTCTTTCCCAGAGACATCATTCATTCTTCCAGCTTCAATTATTAACTCCAAGGGTCTAGTTTCCAAAAGTATCTTCTAGAAAACTTCCGTTCTCCTGAATGTTAATAAGCATTTCTAAAAGTATTTTTTTGGGGGGTTGTGAAAAAGGTATTCTCTGTCCAGGTTCACAAAGAGAGAGAGAGAGAGAGAGAGAGATCTCATAGTCTGATATACCAATAAATTAAAACGTTTGAAATTCTGCAAATAATTTAAATGTCAAATTCTCACATTTAAGGTTAAGGACTCAATTTTAGCCAGTATTTGCACAAGACCTAGACTTCTTAAGCTTTCACTGACCGTTTTAATGCCATTAGAACACTAATAAGTACACAGATTTTATTTTTACTTTACTCATATGTAGTTCTCCAGAGTCTTTATATGTACATTGATGACTGTGCATAAAAACTGCAGGAACATCTGGCATCTCAGAGGCCATAGGTTATGTCACTTAGTGGGTGGTCTTATTGATGAATTTGGGGATATTCTCATCTTTATAAAGATGTTAATCAACCAGCATTTCTACAATGTGTAAGATAAATGTATGCCAAGTTGTGAAAATGAAACCTCCATTTGACGAGTGGTATTTCTTTCTTACTGCGTGAGATACTATAAATATCTGAAGAAAATGTATGGACTTTCAAGTCTCAAGGATGGATCTCAAGGCTTCTTTTCTATGTGTTTTAAAATGTCCATCTGACCATTTATTGGGAAAACATGTGTTGAACTCTTCCTAGTAGCCGGGTCTTATGAGAGATCTTAGGAAAGTAAAAATGAATAATACATACTTCCTGTCTTCCGAAAACACACAAGCTGGAGCCATAATTTTCAGCCAGAAGCAAACACATTTGACAGAGCAAGAGTCACAGGCAGACTTCTCCTACACCGTGTCGTTGGGCAGTTTGCCTTCCCCAGCACCTCGTCAGCTCCGTACCTTCCCCAGCACCTCGTCAGCTCCGTACCTTGGGGCCAGGGTGTCCTTTTCCAGGTGGTCCTTCTGGGCCCCTTGTTCCTGGAAGGCCTGCTTCTCCCTAGAGGAAACGACACTGATGTCTTAGCTAACCCTGCACGGACAGTCTGTACAAGCCCGCCTTGTCTCCTCTATGGCCAGTGGGTTCTCTGCGGAGACCCACCAGAATGATAGCCTTAAAATTAAGCTGGGAGTTTACCAACTTTAATAAATTCATAGCAAACTCTAGCTGGGCTCAGAGCAGCTGAAATAGGAAAAAGTCCAATTTCTCCGCCAATTTTCAAAGAATAAGCTCACTTTCCTTTGGCTCTTCATTCACATTTGATGGTTTGGTTTAAAAAAACAAAACAAAACAAAAAACAAAAAAACAAAGACCTTCAGCCTTTCCATCTGCTGTTTTTCTCTACTTATCTAGAAAAATGAATGTTTCAAATGTCAACTCATAATGCTTCAAAAACTCTTTTATAATTACTTCCTAAATGCATTTACAGACTCTCTTGTTGGAGGGGGAAAAAGTGTTTGCCTCAAAGATTCATTTCAGGTGCTTTCTAGGAATCCCAAAGGGACTAGGTCACTGGAGGACACCATGGCTGAAATGCCAGAGAGAAAGCAGAGAGCATGAGACACTCACTCTCCAGGCATTAAACGGGGGCTCTCTCTAAAGTAAGTGAAGAGGGACATTTCGAGTTGTGAGACATTTACCTAACATGACTAAGTTTGTCCTGGATGGTTTAATTTGAGTTCCTATAGCACCAAGGTATCAGTGTGGTTCAACAGTTTTTACTCCAGTAAACATAAAAAAGCATTACCTTCTTCCCTGCAGCTCCATCCTCTCCTGGAAATCCGGGTTGTCCTGGGAGCCCTATTGAGCCTGGCTCCCCCTGGTGGATAAGCAAAGAGTTTATTTTCCAGAAATTCGTTATTTATCTACAAGTATCATATTTATCCTAATTTAAATTCATACTTGTGCACCACCATTTTGAGGTACTTGCCAACGAGGTGTATCTTACAGTATTTGCAACAAGGCCTCTGAGTGGAGAAATCTGAGTAGTAGCTAGTAGTAATGAAACTCTGACCTTGGGCAAGTTACTTAACTTCTTTGGATCTCAGTTTTGGATTCTTTTGCTATGGGTTGAACTGAAACCTCAAAAACTGGATGTTGAAGTCCTAACCCCTGGTCCCCGTGAATGTGACCTCATTTGGAAATAGGGTCTTTGTAGACGTAACCGAGTTAAGATGAGGTGATGAGGGTGGGCCCTACTTCAACATGACGGTGGTCCTCTGTCCCTGTAAGAAGCAAATGCCATATAAAGACAGACACCTGGGGGGGGGCGACTCTATGTGACGGCAGAGGCAGAGACCGCAGCCGTGCGGCCACCAGCCGTGGAATGCCAAGCACGGGCAGCCAGCACCAGAAGCGAAGAAGGGGCAAGGAAGGATTCTTCCCTACAGGTTTTAGAGAAAACATGACCCCGCAGACACTTTGATTTTCCACTTCCTCTAGAATTGTGACATAATAATATCTGTTATGTTGAACCACAGTTTGTGGTTCTTTGTTACAGCAATCCCAAGAAACTAACATAGAAGTGAAATGTCAGCTCTAATACTCAATAATGCTACTTGCTTTCAAGTTTGTTTGTATTTAAGAATATGCCCTTTAAAATGTTCAGAGATGATATGTGCTACTTTCAAATAGTGCCAAAGTATTCTTACTGAATTTAAGAGCAAAAATATTAAAGATAAGTGAAAGTCATCTCACCTAAACTCACCTAAAAAAAAAAAAAAACTAGTGAAAATAAAAGAACAGTAAACCTAAAAATAAGTAGAGAGATATGGTAAAGATGAGAACAGACAGTAATAAATTTGAAAATCAAAAGTTAAGAAAAATAACAAAACTAAATAATACCTTTAAAAAACTAATAAAATAAATAAACCTCTAACAGGAATTACTAACACTGAAAAAGAAAACTCTATTAAGAATTAATAATTAAAGGGCACCTGGCTGGCTCAGTTGGTTAAGCGACTGCCTTCGGCTCAGGTCATGACCCTGGAGTCCGGGGATCGAGCCCCGCACTGGGCTCCCTGCTCAGCAGGGAGTCTACTTCTCCCTCTGACCCTCCCCCCTCTCATGTACTCTCCCTCTCTCTCTCTCTCTCTCATTCTCACTCTCTCAAAAAAAATAATAAATAAATCTTTAAAAAAAATAAAATAAAAATAAAGCTACCAATTATTTAAAAAAAAGAATTAATAATTAAAGATAAATACTATTAAGAATTAAAGGGAAATATAACTATATACATAGTAAAGATTTTTTTTAAATCATAGAAAATTTCCATGATAATTTCAAACAAATATATTGGAGGACATTAATAAATAACTTTTAAGAAAAATATAAATTACTTAAATGACATAAGGAGAAGTGGACAAGCTAAATAAACCAGAAGCACTGAAAAATTGAATCAGCAATTTAAAGTCTCTAATTTCCTCTCCTTCCAAGATCGCAGGCTCTGCTGGTTTTACAGGCAAGCCTTACAAATTCTTTATCCTTTGAAGAACAGGTATTCCCTACCTTATACAAATAGTTCTGAAAAACAGTAAAAGAGGGAATTCTACCCAATTTATTTCATGAGGCTAATAAAACCTTAATTAAAGTCATACAATAATAGGACTAGGAAACTACACTGTAGACCAGACTACCTATGAATGTAGATATCATGTAAGTTTCCAGTCAAATGGAGGAATAGGAACCAGATTTACTTTCCTCCCTGACACAGCTAAAAACCAGACAAAATATATAAAACAATACCTTTCAAGATATTAGACACCAAGTAATGAAGGATAATAATAACTGGGGGCAGGGAAACAAATTAGGTGAATACTGTAATTTCCCCGGTTTGCTGCCTGGGTAGAGCTTCCAAGCCATGGTGCAGGGAGAGAGAACCCAGGGAAAGTTCAGAAATCTCTCTAATTTAAGGAGACAAAGGTAGGAGTCTAGGTAAGCCAGGTACCAAAAATTCACTGAATTGATTACCTGATAGGAAGAAGGTACACAGAGAGAACGATGAAGCTCTGATGAGTATCCGCCTCGTGTAGTCAAGTAAATACCGTTCAGCACAGTGTGAAGAAACTACCAAACACCCAGAAAACAACCAACTTAAAGGATTAGAGAGAACTGGCAGCAGGCCAGAAATAGTGCCTGCTTCCAGTGGCCAGAAAGGAAATCTCACAATTCTGAGGGCATAGATTAGAGTTCTTTAAAAAACGTCTTGCTTCAGTAGTCAAGAAAAACGAACCCTACACTAAACGCTCCTACCTAAGAAAGCTTAAAAGCAAGACCAAGAGGTGCAAACTGTTTTCAAATGACTTAGAAGAATCCAGGAACAAAGATATGTATACAAATACAAACTTATGTGTAGGAATACAAAAATGTCTAGCCCCCCAAAAAGGTAAAATTCACAAAGTTTGGCATCTAGCCAAAAATTATCAGGAATTCAAAGAAACTGGAAAAAAAATTACCAAGAAAATGACAGAGGTGATAGAATAGTAGATAAGGACCCTAAAGGTTATTATACTGCATTCCATATGTTCCATATGTTCAAGAAACCAGAGGAAGGTTGAGCTACATTAAATAGAGACACGAAGTTGTAGAAAGATACGAATTGAACTTCTGGAGTTGAAAATTGCAAAGTATGAGATAAACCATACCCTGGATAAAATTAACAGCAAGTTAGACATCACAGGAGATTAATGAACTAAGAAACATAGCAATAAAAACTACCTAAAATGAAACATAGAGAAAAGAGACCAAAAAGGAATGAGCAGAGCATCAGTGAAGCAGCCAAATTTAAGTAACATGGAGTTGCTTGGGTGAAGGCAGAGAGTGGGAAATATTTCAAGAAACAATGATCTAGTATTACCAAATTTGATGAAATCAATAACCCACAGATCCAAGAAAATCAATGAACCCTGAGCACAAGAAATACGAAGAAAACAAAAGTAAGGCACATTATAATCACATGGCTCAAAACTAGTGATACAGAGAAAATCTCAAAGATAGCCAGACAAGAGAGACATGTAGAGAAATGAATGTGTAGATGCTAATATACTTCTTATCACAAACAATGCAAGTGAGAAGACAGTGGAACAACATCTTGAATGTACTAAAAGAAAGAGAAAAAACAAAACAAAAACAGCCATCAACCCAAAATTCCATACCCAGTGAATATATAGACAAAATAAAGAGTTTTTTGGACACTAACTTGGCAGTTTCTTGAAAAGCTAGGTAGATACCTACTATATGACCCAGCCATCTCACTTCTAGGCATTTACCCAAGAAAAATGAAAGCTATGTTCGTACAAAGGCATGTACATAATTGTTCATAATAGCCTTATAATACCCCAAAGCTGGAAACAACCAAATTTCCCTCAACATATGAATGGATGAACAAATGTCCATACAGTGGAATACTATTCAGCAATAAAAAGAACAATAAAAAAAGAAGCTATTCCTTGTCGTTAATCGTGGGCCTCAAAGTAATTTTGCTGAGTAGAAGATAAGACAGAAAAAAAGGTTATATAGCATATTATTCCATTTACATAAAATTCTAGGAAATGCAAATGAATCTATTATGACAGAGGGCAGACCGATAGTTACCAGAGATTGCAAAGCAGATCAGTAGGCAAAGTTGGGGAGGGATGGAAGGATGGTATTACAAAGGGACACATAATAATTTGGTGTGGGGGGAGGGGAGATGGTAGATACTTGAGTTATTTGGCTTTGGTGATGGTTTCAAGAACATATACATGTTTTATCAAAGTGTACACTTTAACCATGTGCTTTTATTTTACGTCAACCACATAATAAATAAAATTATTTAAAATGGATGGAAAAATCCTAAATAAAAGATTAGTCAATTAAGTTACTATCATAAAAAAGTTATATATCATGATCAGTTGGGTTTACCTCAAGAATGCTAGAATGGTTCAACGACTAAAAATTCTGGAAATGTAATATACCATTATGAATAGATTAAAAGGGAAACATAAAATAATTATCTTAGTAGATGCAGAATCTGATAAAATCCAATACTCATTTAAAATTAATAAGGAACTTTTGGTACAATTGAAACAGAAGGTAACTATCTTAACCTAATAGAGATTGTCTAGCAAAAACCAACAGCAAATGTCACTCTTAAAATTGAAATTTTAGGGGCACCTGGGTGGCTCAGTTGCTTAAGTGTCTGCCTTCAGCTCAGGTCATGATCTTGGGGTCCTGGGCTCAAGTGCCACTTTGGGCTCCCTGCTCAGTGGGGGATCTACTTGTCCCTCTGCCCTTCCTCTCTGATTGTGCTCTCTCTCTCTCTCCCTTTCTCTCAAATAAATAAATAAATAAAATCTTGTCTTAAAAAAGTGAAATTTTAGAAGCACTTCCTTTGAAGTCACTTCTTTTAAGCATTGCACTGGAGATCCTAACAGTGTAAAATTTTAAAAAACAAATAGGAGAAAGAACTAAAAAGAAATATATAAAACAGTTTTTATTTTCATACACTATGATTATGTACACAGGGAATAAAAAAGCAAGAGTTTACAAACAATTAGAAATAATAAGAGATATTATCAGGTGCCTGAATACAAACATGCAATACCAAAACAAAACACCACCACGAACAAAATAATACTTCTCCTAACTGACCTGTAATAACTAATTAAAAGATGTAGAAAAAAGAAAGCAATTCACAATTGCAAAAAATTTCTCCAATGTACCTTTTCAACTGAAAAACTAGATCTTTATGGATAAAATGGCAAATATTTTCCTGAAAAATTTGTTTTACACTACGGTTTGAAAGACTCAATATTTAATTGGAAGATTCAATGCGATCTCAATAGTATATCCCAATGGGATACTCTGTCAAATTTGACAAGTCAATCCTAAAAGGAGTATGTTAGAATCAAGAGTAACCAGGAAAGAAGTTGAGAGTATTTTCCCTATTGATGACAAAACTTACTATAAATCTATCATAATCAAGACAGAAGTGATAGCACTGAAAGATATAGACAAATGGAGCAGAATAGAGAGCTCAGGCACTGATCCTCACACAGAGAAGCTTGATGTACAACAGAGGTGGAATTACAAGCCAGTGCAGCAAAGAGGGACTATTCAGTAACCCATGCGGGGACATACGGTTGTCCATCTGGGGGAAAAAAGATCGCTACATTGCACCACACACAAAAAGGAAACAGTAAGTGGACAAAAGACCTAAAGTTTAAAAAGCAAAAACATCACATTTTACGGAGAAAATACATGAGTTTCTTTATGACTTTCGAGTCAAGAAATGTTTCTACATAATATTCCAAAAGCTCAGACATTAATGGGATAGAAATACATCAGAACTTACAACTTGTGTATAGTGAAAAGTGCTCTAGGTAAAAAAAGACAAGTCTTAGCCTGGGAGAGATCTGCAACCCAAATAACAAAGGATTGATATCCAGATATAGAAAGAACTTTAATGAGAAAGGAACATCAAACCTCAAAAAAAAAAATGAATATCTACAGGAATTTACAAAAGAGAAAAGCTGATGTTCCATGAAGCACCCAGAAACTGTTCAAACAGTTACCAGATAATAGAAATTGAAACAATGAGATGAATCATACAGGCTTCATGTTGGCAAAAGGTAGAGAAAGGAGCATTGTCACATTTTGCTAGAAGGATGGTGAACGGGCAGAACCATTTTACCCATTGTCCATTTGGGACAGGATCTTCATGATATCAAAATTGAAAACTTGCCCATACCCTATGATCTTCTGATTCTACTTGTAGCATCTATCACCAACTAGTGAGAGAAACTTGTAGTCTGACTTACATAAGAGCAAACTCATAGAATGTTTATGGTAGCATTGTTGGCAAAGGCAAAAAATAGGAAGCAATTTAAGTGTCAGTCGATAGGAAAATGGATACATTTTAAATGAGGTATTTGTATACAATAGACTATCATAGAGCAATGAAAACAAATGAATTAAAGGTATATAAAAGCAAATAAGACATGAAGCTGAGTATAATTATGAGGCAGAATGATGCATTATGTAAAGTTCAAGAACACACAAAAGCTTTATGTGGTTTATGGATAAAAATATGTGGGAAAATTTTAAAAACTTCGAGAGAATGATAAATACCCAAGTCATGAAAATAATTGTCTGGTGGGGGAGTGGATGGTCCTGGGATGGACTAGCAGAGGCAGAAGCCTCTATCTGTATCTGTAATGCTTCTTAGAAAAATAGCTAGAATAAATATGGCAAAATGTCAACATTTGATAAAGCTGGGTTGTGAAATACTTGGGTGGTCTTTGTATTATCCTCTATGCTATTGAGTATGCTTGAAATATTTCATTTTCTAAAGTGAGAGAAACTTAAAATTGCACATCTAGTTAATGGCAAAACTGGGGTTTAGACTTAGGCAGTCTAAATGCTGAGCCTTACTACCCTATGTTGCTTCTCTGAAATTGGCACATATATGACATCATACATGTACATATGTATGGTGACATATGTGTCATAGTTAGCATATTGTGTGGCACACAGAAACCAACAAACAGCAGCTATTATTACTATTTATATTAGTGATTGCTTTTTACATTAGTATATTTTGTACTTATTGTAATTATATGTCTATGCCTATGTAACATGTCTATTCTTCTAGACCCACATCTTACATATTGTAATACCCAAATACTTATAAGAATGACAACAATGTCAGCAGCAACAGTGATGGAGCTGAACCCTCAGTGTGGCTTGCCGGATCCTATCTGACTTCAGGATTAGTTATAGAACTCGTGAAGGGTAAAGTAAGAATTCGTTCATTTACTCAACACATTTATTGAGTACCCGCTTGTCCCCAGAACTGGGGATTCGATAATAAACAAGAAAAAAAGGAAACAAGGACCCTGCCGCAGGGGGGTAGCACGGCCCCATAGATATAGAAAGCAAGCCGTATGTGTCATTTATTTATTTACAAAGTTAAAAGACACAGGTGAAAATAATCCTAATAATGTATTTTACTTTACTTTAATATAGCTGAAATTGTATCATCTCAATATGTAATCAATCTGCAAAAGTACCAGGGATGTAGTTCACGTTCTTCATGCCGAGCTCTGTAATCTAGTGTGTGTTTCACACTAACCACACATCTCACTCCACGCTCACCACGTTCCACGCATTCAGTAACCATGTGTGGCTGGTGGCTGCAGTGTTGGGCGCTGCATTTCTCAAGTGATTAGGAAGATGAAACGTAATGCAGAAAACATGCCAGTTGCGGTGAAGGGGAATAGCAAAGGAAATAGCATGCTGAAATATAAAACCAGTGGGTAGCTAGGGGGAGTGGGGGAGACATGCTTTAGGCTGAGGGAACCACTTTCTGAGTAGGTAGCTTTGGAGCTGAGACCTGGAACGTGAGCCCGCCTCAAAACAAGATGAGGGAAGTACCATTTGCTGAAATCCTACTGTCTAGGTGCTCTGTTTTCTAATATGCAGATAAGAATGTTCTTAAAGAATCGCTCTGTGCACAAAAGGGCCTCTGCTGCTAATACGTATACGAACAAAAACCAGATAGCAGTCCTTAAAATAAACTAAGATTTTTGGTTCTTCTTAAACAATAAGAGTTACACTGAGCATCAGACCCTTTTCTGAATAAATATTCTCCTCTGATGAAATAACAGATGACACATGCATGATCTGTATTGTGTTTGGATATCAATGAAAGTTTACATAATATGACATAAATTATCTAAACGCTTCTGATCGGTATGGCCAGCTCACCTTTGGGCCTTGTACTCCAACTCCCACTGGTCCTCTAGGACCCGTAGCTCCTGTCTGGCCTACTTCTCCCTAGTGAGGAAAGAGTATTTGAAGAGTATGTCACAGTAGCAGCAAAATAAAATATATTCCTGCCTTAAGAGCTAAGAGCTGTCTTGTATCAACAAAATAAGATAAAAATGAGCTTTGTGTGCTCAATTCATATATACGTGTTCAAATATATACAGAGTAGATAGATGTTAATTATGTTATTAATATTAATACTCATGATACATTGTAATATAAAACCTGAAAATATATTTTTAATATATATTGTATTATTTCATTTTGTGTTTGTATATAATTCAAATATATATATATTTGCCTAAAATCCCTTCAGGTGGATGGAGTTTTATCAAATTTGGAATATATAATGGTCTGGCTTAAAAAATAGGCTAGGTAGGAGCCCCTGGGTGGCTCAGTCAGTTAAGCATCTCCCTTCAGCTCAGATCATGATCTCAGGGTCCTGGGATTGAGCCCCCTGTCAGGATCCCTGTTCAGCAGGAAGCCTGCTTCTCTCTCTCCCTCTGCCTCTCCCCCTGACTTGTGCTTTCTCTCTCTCTCTCTCTCTCTCTCTCTCTCTCTCTCAAATAAATAAATAAAATCTAAAAAGATATATATAGGCTACATAGCATACTGAAAAGGTGGAGGGCACCTGGAAGATAGGCAGTTAGATCCCATAACAACTAAAATTGACACATGAGAAGCCAGAATGACTGTGAATCAAGAGCAATATCATAAGCAGAAAGAATGACCTGAGCTTCTAATGATGAACCCAAAGCAAAAATCTCAAGGACAGTAACTTTCTTCTATCAAGCTGCTTCTCACATGCCAATCTCTAAGGAGTGCGCTGGAAGGTGACTACTCTCAGAGCAGTATTTATTTAACAAGGATTAGTGATCATTTGAAGTAACAGTAAGGACACCTAGTTAAATAAGAAGTGCCATGCCTCTCCCTAAGGGATAAATAATAGTTTTAATTTAGGACATAAAATGACTCCCACATTCATAGAAGATTTTTCTTTATTTCTGACTCCATATCTTTAAATGTATCAGGAGGTAGGCCTACTGTGGGAGTTTTGGTGAGAATGGATTAGCCAGCCCACAGGTAGCCTCTACTGCTTGAGCTGCTAGAAAAGGATCTCTTGAGAAAAAGCAATAAAGAAAACAATAAATTAAGATTGCCTAAATAAATGCTTCTAAAAGTATAAGGAATACATATTACATTAACTAAACCCTCAGGAATATCAGTACCATTTTACATTAAGTAGACATCTGATTTTTAAGTTCATTTTATCTATTGCTTTCCCAGTGCACTGGCTGCTGACCAGGAAATAGCAACTAGACTATAGATACATTAAACTCTGCTCTCATTCAGAAAGTTACCTTGGCACCAGGCAAGCCTTGTCCTGGAGGCCCTTGTGGACCAGGTGGACCCATAGGACCTTGGATTCCCTTTAAAATAAAATGTTTAAAAATAGCATTAGTGAAATTAAGAAATTCGGATAAAAGTAGTTTCATACCCTCTAAAGTGAAAATTTAATTCTCATTCTATCATATATTAGTCACACTCAGTATTTGTTGAATGTCATGGCAGAGGCTGCTAGTCGAACCATAATATGCATTTTCCCCTTCTTCCATAGTAAGAGAATTGTAGCTGACCTGCGTGGCTGCCTAGATAATGACCACGTTTCCCAGTCCCTGGTGCAGCCAGGTGTTGCCAGATGGACTGGATTTGGGCCAATGGGATACAAATGGAAGTGACATGTGCAATTGCTGATTCATGATAAAGGAAGAGGCATGCCTTTCCCTCCCCTATTCCCCTTCCCCAGTGGCTGAAGTGAAGACACAGTGACTATTCCAGATCATGTGGGTGAGGAAGGCACCCTGAGAAGGGCAGACTCCCAAGAATGAAGATGGAACCTCTGAAGACCCTGACGAACAGAGCCACCATACCAGCTTGGAGTTCCAAATCAGAGAAATAACATTGCTTCTTGTTAATCTATTTCACATTTCAGTCCCATGCAGGCAAACCTATATTCTAGCTCTCTCAATCACAATATATCAGGATGTTAAGTTGAAGATTTTAACCTTAGGCTCTAAGAAGCAAGAGTCTGTGGACACCAAACTGAAGAATGTCCAAACACTAGATTCTCACTCACATTGTGGGTATAAAAAGGGGAAGGAGATAGAATTAATAAGCTCTTCTTTGGAGAAAGTAGTCTTATAAAGTGTTTTCTTTGAAGAAAATGAGAGGGATTTGGGTTGCTTCACTCTTTACCGCATTCTAGAAAGAGAGCTTCAGTGAAACCACTTGTTGACCTTGATTTTTGCCTTGGCAACACAAGGGACCGGTGTCTGACTCACACCTGGGAAAGCTAAAATGGACGGTGATGGCCAAGAGAGGGCTGGGGTTGGATCAGCCCGTCTATCCAGAGTTGGTCAGCACAAAGGCCATGCAAGTTTTTTTCTGTAGACCAGATGTACTCTAGGTGAGAGACAGGGTTGGCCTGGAATTGTTTGGAATCCTGTCCAAGAGGACCTGGAGGAGCAGTGGAATTCCAATAGAGAGAATCAGTATAGAATAAACCCCCAGAAAAGCAGAGGCTGATGGGGAGAAACAGCTAGAGGAAGAGAGTCCTTCATCCATGTCCCGAGAGTGGCAGTCACAGGGGCAAGGCAAGAGCCCCACAAGGAATCTCACTGTCAAACATCTGTCAAGACCAGAGGACCCAAACCATGTGACAACAGACGAGCCAAGAAAGAAACTCTGTGGCCTCCCCCCGACTCTCATCCTTGATTCGGCCTGGGAGGGAAGAGAAGCACATTCCTTCCCGTGGACCACAGGTGCTCCCTATAGCTCATACCAGATAAGTGAAGATTAAAAGGAAAGTTAATATAGTGACTAGATAATTTTTATTACACAATTAAAACTGTGAGTTACAACTAAGAGGTGATACCATAACTTTTTATTACCTAAAAGTGGTAAGAAGAGTTTGTAACTCATCGGTAATTTCTTCCTATGGTAGGAAAAAGAAAAAACTTACCCCACCGAAAAATATTTAAAGGGTTGGTAAGGAAAAACTAAAATTTTGTTTTGCTTATACCCCACAAGCCATGATTGTGTAAATAATGGTTACAAATACATGATTATTTTATTACAAATGGTATCCCCTTTTTTCCAGCTGGACGATACAATTGCTTATTTATTTTTTAATTATAAATACCATTTTTTTTCTGGTTAATGAAGATGAAGCAGTCTAAATGGTTTAAGAAAGCTATGGTTATTACAAGAAGGAATCATAATGTTGTTATTAGGAAGAATCTTTTACAGTCATCTACAAGTAGCATGATATGCGACAAGAAACCAAAAATTCAAAGAGATCCATGCATGTGTGTGTGTGTGTACACGTGTAAATGTGGTTATTTGTATTTTCACTCCAATTTATAACAGAGTTGAAGTGGTCAAGCCTCCAAACATTTCATAAAAATCTGCAGGCCCCTCGAGGCATATTATCAACATGTTCCTGAAAACAGGAGTTACCCCAAAACAGATGAGTGGGGAAATTCATTTCTGTAAGAGAATTAGGAAGATCTAATAACAACAGTAATTCAATGAGTAAACATGTCAAATTAGGGATAAGAAGAAAAATGAATAACTGTATAAATAGAGGTTACATTTAAGTAGGATTTAAATCATTTGTCTTAAAAGGGCAAACAATTTCCTTTCTTGTTCAAAGCAATTTACAAATGATGCATTCTATTCAATCTCCTATCCAGTGGGGGTCAGCTCCATATGGACACATCTACCTTAAAAATGATTTTCTCTTGGAAATTTGGAGAGAAAGGGGTGAGAAAACAAGAGAAGTCAAAGAGATTTTTTTAAACTGAAGAACAACAACCCCCACCAAGAACCAGCATTAAAGGCAACAGGAAGTTGCAGGTGGGAGGTCCAGAATTCGCAGGCCATCTGGAAAGATTTGGCTTTCTTTGAACCTCATTTTCAGCCCTATAGTGGTGACTCAGCACCAGGACCACAAGACCCAGGACTGTCCAGCCACTTCCAGGATCAGAATGTAAGCCTAGCTGAAACCAGCAAGTAAACTGCAAAGTATGAGATTACTTAGTGCTATAGTCAAACCACAATCCTCGTGTAATCAAAATATCCAGCTCTTAATTATTATATAAACACTTATATATAGACTTATCTTGGCTTTTCCTGCATCTTAATCCTCCTAATGTATTACCACTAAGATCTCTATCAAGAGAAAGGAAATGGAAAAAGGAGTAATATCCAACTTTGGTGTTGCTTGGATTAACAACAACTACAAAAATACTAATTAATTTCAAGATGGTTAGAAATAAACTCAGAGTTAATGTTAACAATGAGGTTTGGAATTATCTCTTTTTTTTAATACTTTTCCCACTCTCCTAGATAAAGGAAGCACTATTCATTCTCTAGGCAACAGAATAATTCAAACCTTAATCATAAATCTTAGTCAAACCGATTGGCTACTTTCTATGTAGGAGGACAGTCAACATAAATCTGGATTTGTGTGTCACTTTGATTAAATGAGATTCTGTAGGTAGATAGTACTGTTACATTATCTTTATATTATTTAGATCTAACAAAGGTGCCCAGCTTTTCCAAAAGGTATGGTCAGAAGGTTTTGGAAGCACTTAGAGCCATGAATGTGGAGACATCCTCAGAGAGCTTTCCTTCCTTCTGACCAAGAAAAGGCAAATGTCATTTATAAACCCTATCTGTGGTTTGCTTCTATTCAGGAACGGTGCCCTTTAAGTTAAATGGTTACCTTTGATTCTGGTCCTTGTTTTAAAACTTCTTTTAGATTGGTACATGGCTAGGGGGTAGGAGAGAGTACTTTCCTAGCATTGGCAGAGAGTGAGATTTAATCATTCGCAAAGCCTCAAGGGGGAAAACACGCAAACCAACAGATAAATAAACCACTGCTCCTAAGGAAAACTAAAAATATAAAATCACTCTAAAACTCTTATCCTGTTAGTTAGCCATTAATGTTAAAAGTCATAGCTCCAAGAAACACACATTTTATTTTTTTTTAATCTTTGGAAGTTTTAAAAAATAAAATCTTCCTTCCCTACATTCACTTCTGGTTGTATATTCCACTGCACTTTGACTATCAAATATATTCATAGGTGTTTGCAGGACTGGCTTTCAATGAACACCAGAATTGGGTCAGAGTGTTCTGTACCAAAGGGAAAGAGAGAAAGCTTTGATTACCTGTTCTCCTTGACTCCCAATTCCGGGGATGCCCACTAGTCCCTGGGGTCCCACAGGTCCCAAATCCCCCTGTATAGAAAATAAGTCAGAAATATAACAATAAGCCTCATTCTCTCATACTTGGCTAATCTTGAATTATGCTGACTTAAAATCTATACCATAAAAGGGTTCAACATAAAAAGTTAGAAAACTCTATTTCTTTTTAAACAGTTTATAGTTCAAGTTTGCCAAAAGAGTGAATATTTTCACTGTGTAGTCTAAATTGGTGAATATTTGCACCAGTTTATATTTATCAGTCATTTTTCTAACAAGGACCAAAAATTCCTAAATGGTTATTAATGCCCCAAACACTTCGGGTTAGGATTATAATAGAAATATTTAAAAGTCTAATATTCATAGGGTCCAAGAAAATCAGGATTTGAGAGAGAAATTGAAATGTTTGAAAATTTTCTAAATAACTTTTCCATCTTGCTAAAATACATTTTAAAACTTAAGAAATTAAGGTAAATGCAACAAAATTAAAGAACCTCACCTTTTCCTTCCATGAAATAAATTCGGGAAACACAGTGAGAGTTATCAGTAAGAACAGTATCATTCATTCATTCTTTGTGTCTTTCAACAAATACTTGTGAGTGCCCATTATGTGCCATGGATTGTTCCAAACACTGGGGAAGCAACAGTGACCTAAACAGCCAAAAAGCTCTCTCCTCACAGAGCTTACATTTTAGTAGGAAAAATAGAAGATAGTAAACAAGATAAATAGATAAAATAAGTAATATGTTGAATAAGAATAAGTGCTAAGGAGAAAAATAAATGAAGGAAGGGGGGAGACAACTACAGTTTTGCATGTGGTAGCCAGGGATGGCCTCACTGAAGAGAGAGAAAGAACCAGGTAGAAACACAGGGAAAGCATTCCAAGCAGAGCAAACATCCAGTGTGAGGATGATGCCTGGCACATCCCAGAACAGCAAAGAGACAAATGAGATCCATATTTTATTTTATTTTTTATTTTTATTTTTTGAAGAAGGCTCCATGCCCCATGTGGGGCTTGAACTCACAAGCCTGAGATTAAGAGTCACGTGCTCTACCAACTGAGCTAGCCAGGCGTCCTGGACATATAAATGTCAGTTGTATTTAGGCTCCATCAGGATCCATGAACTTGTTCTTAAACTGCTGGAAAGTAAACATTTTGTTCTTGAGGGCCATACTAAGGTCTCCGTCATAAGTAATGAACGCTGCTTTGGTTGTACCAGAGCAAGCACAGACAATACCTGAATGCACAGATATGCCTGCGTTCTAAAAACACTGTATTTGTAAGAATAACAGCCAGCCCTATAGTTTGCCAATGCCTGGACTAAATAAATGTTTTTATGAACAAAACTGTATCACTGGATCATACTTCACATAATATTAGGGGCGCCTGGGTGGCTCAGTCTGTTAAGCATCCGACTCTTGATCTCAGTTCAGGTCTTGATCTCAGGGTCGTGAGTTCAAGCCCTGTGTTGGGCTCTACGCTGGCTGTGGAGCCTGCATAAAAAAAGAAAGAAACAATGCTGATCCTGTCATTAAGACATGCCCTGGAATATGCTTCTTAGTGTTTTACTTTGTGTCAACCCCCATTCTAAATAAATATCTTAGAGGGAAAGATGTAATGGACTCAAGTTCTAGTTCAGAGCTGGATTAGTCTGATTCAGAATTGGATTGCTTGTCATGTGGCAGGCACTGTGTTAAATGCTTTTTCATGCTTTCTCTCATTTAATCTTCACAAGAACCCTCTGAAAGTAGGCATCTCTATCTTCCAGATGAGGTTAAGTACTTTGCCCCAGTCATACAACCATTAGATGACAGAGGCAAGATTCAAGTTCACTCTCTCTGACTCCAGAACCCACTCATAACCACTATTCTGCAAATATTCAATGAACACATAAGAAGCATCCTCTTTTGTGCATTATTATTTACATTTAATTTCTGTATCAAAACCACTTCTTTGTGTTTTACCAATTACATATTTTGAGAGCCCTTATCATAGAGGTGTTTATCTTATCACTTGAATTACAGACACAAACATGCATGATCCCAGGGTCCTGGGGTCGAGTCCTGCATCAGGCTTCCTGCTAGGTGGGGAGCCTGCTTCTCTCTCTGCCTCTGCCTCTACCTCTCTCTCTCTCTCTCTGACTCTCATGAATAAATAAATAAAACATTAAAAAAAAAGAACCTAACATTATATATGGTGAGCGCTGTGAATTGTGTAAGACTGTTGAATCACACACCTGTACCTCTGAAACAAATAATACATTATATGTTAAAAAAAAAAAAAAGAAGAAGAAGAAGAAGACGATAGCAGGAAGAGAAGAATGAAGGGGGGGAAAATCGGAGGGGGAGACGACCCATGAGAGACTATGGACTCTGAGAAACAAACCGAGGGTTCTAGAGGGGAGGGAGTTGGAGGGATGGGTTAGCCTGGTGATGGGTATTAAAGAGGGCACGTTTTGAATAGAGCACTGGGTGTTATACGCAAATAATGAATCATGGAACACTACATCAAAAACTAATGATGTAATGTATGCTGATTAACATAACATAATAAAATTTTAAAAAATAATACACTATATGTTAACTAACTTGAAATTTAAAAAACCAAAAAAATGGCAAATAAAAAGTTGAGACAAAAAAAAAGAATAGGAAAGGAGGAAAGGGGGAAGGGTAAGAATTTGGTAAGGCAGTAGCAGATGAAAGCAATTACTATGTGATAATGTCTAATATTTCAACGTATTTTCTTTGCACGAGCTCCAGATGTAAAAACACAAATGCCGTGACAACAACACCTGAAAAAGTTAATTTACTGAACTCAGAAAACAATAGATCTGTTGTACTCAGTTCTAACTGCTCCAAAGGAAGACAGACAATCTTACATATTTTTAGGTTATTTTGGAGCTGGAGCTGAACTATTTGAACCAAAAACTGTGTTACAACTAAAATTTGTATAACTCACTGTTAACCAGCATCTCTGCTATTTAAATACAGATATCTAAAAGAGACAGCTACCAGTAAATAAAAGAAATAAGTAATTCAAAATTGAAACACAACACCTAAGGTATTCATGAACATAAATCATTATTCTAATATGTAATGTGATAATATGCTTAGAGAACATATAAATGACTCCAAATTGATATGAGGTCTCTGTTTTTTGTACGTTTCTTGTATCATCTTCACCTCTGGGAGCTTTCCCTTCCCTGTGGTCTGTAGGGCTTTATCGGCCTCCAGATCTCCTAGCACCAGCCTCACTACCACTTCTAATCTGGGTATGATCTGCAGCTATTTTAAAGAAAACAATGAACTAATGAGAAAGAGAAAAGCAATGACAGGTTGACCATGGTATTGAACATAAACAATTTTACAGAATACTGTCAGATATGGCCATTTGATGTGATAAACCAAGGTAAAAGCAAGAGCGCTCCATAGTTATGTCTGAGCACAGACAAAAACAAAAAACAGCATCCAAACCACCTATCCCCAGCAAAATGATCAAACGTCCCCCTATACTAGCTAAAGTGAATGACTGCTACTTCTTTACCAATTATAGCTAAGCCTGACTCCATTTTTCCCACCTCCTAGATAAGAGTCATTAAAATAGCCAGTCTTAAAATTACCTCACTTCCTGTACCCCTGAAACAAAAAATACATTATATGTTTTAAAAAAAAAAAAGGAAGATAGCAGGAAGGGAAAAATGAAGGGGGGGAAATCGGAGGGGGAGACGAACCATGAGAGACGATGGACTCTGAGAAACAAACTGTGGGTTCTAGAGGGGTGGGGGTGGGGGGGATGGGTTAGCCTGGTGATGGGTATTAAAGAGGGCACGTTCTGCATGGAGCACTGGGTGTTATACGCAAACAGTGGATCATGGAACACTACATCAAAAACTAATGATGTATGGTGATTAACATAACAATAAAATAAAAAAAATTTACCTCACTTCCTAACAGCGTCCAATCCAAAGTCAACTCCTACTTTCTTAGACACTTCCCAAAAACACCTAACACAAACCCAAATGCTATAAAAAATCTTTCATCTTCTTACTGAGTAGTAATGGGTTCCCCATGGTATGTGGTCTGCCTCACTGCAATGAATCTATAGACCTAACTTTGTTCAGCTATAGGTGGACCCCTCTTGGTCCTTGTTAGAGGGCATCAGCACTAGCTTTCTTAAATGAGTTCTCCTATTTTAGTCCCATTTTAAGGTAATATTTTTTGAGTGAGCATCTAAGGATGGACATGCACATTCTGTAATGGGGTCAAGTCAATACATTTTAAAAAACTTTTTTACTAAGAAGACGTCTGTTTTGCTAATGTTTGGCATTAAAGCTCTTCAGCTGAAGATAGTTTTACTGGAAGTCAAAGCCCAAATAAATGAGACATTACTGTAAATAAACATGATGGGATATTTCAGATAATAATTCCTCCTACATAATAATATACCTTGCATATACTTGATTTATGATTAACTGGATACCTGTGTGATATGGTCATTAGGTTGAATACAGTTCATAAATGTACATGCATAAAGAACAGTGAACAAAAATAATTCTAGTGGCATCTTTCCTATTGTACACCCTCCATGCAGTACCTTGTCCCCTTTGATTGACAGGCCTTGTAATCCTTGTGGGCCAATTGGTCCTTCAGAGCCTTTTTCACCCTGAAAGTATATGGGAGAAATATCAGTATATTAATAAAAATCAGGATTTCAAAATAGTTGAAGCATCCAAAGCATCCAAATTCACTGCTCACTACAAATGGGTAATTCTAGCTGACCCGAAGATCTGTAACTTGCAAAAAAATACAGTTTTAATACTCTTAAATAAGAAGGAATCTGTCCAAACAGAACACATATACAGCATCACTAAAGCTGGAGAAGAGCTCCATTCCTGATAGAAATATCTGGAAATGGGGGGCCTAACTAATCATATAGTACAACAAACTGAATCAATCCTTCATTTCCTTAACACTGCTCAACTGGATCCAGCACACAATGAAAATTTGTCTCTCATATTAGTATATGAACTAACACTTGCTAGTATTGAATACTTATTAAATGTTTTATATCATAATTTATAAAAATTCATTGAAAATTTAGTTTTAAAATGATTCATAGAAAATCTTCTTGGAGGTACTGCTAGAGTCACATGACCTATGTGACTAGCTCTGGTTGTAATGTAATTGCAATGAAGTCATAACACTTTGTGCATTTGTGTGAAAAATAAGCCATATTATTAATTCGGAATAGCATTTATTTAAGCGCACAGTAAAATCAAAGAACACTTGCAAGAAACCTAAGAAAAGGGAAAATATACCTTTAAGTTCCTCTTTATTCATAATTTATTCTACGTCAATGCAAAGTAACACAAGTAGCACACATAGAAAACTCCCCATTGACCCTGCTGGTTGGGGAATGAAGTATTCTGACTAATGGGTTCTTCTGATCATTACCACAGAGTATAATTACATAAGTTGACCCTAAAGTAACACTGAATATAATGGATTCTTTCTGTGATGAGATGCAGGGCGATGCAGTGCTGTGGGTTATGATGAGTAAGAGTGTATCATTCTAACCTTGAACCTGTCACTAAAACTCGCCCTGCAGTATGCTTCTTAGTGTTTCACTTATTCACTTCTCATTTACTTATTTATGTTAAAAACCCCCACAGGTTATAAAGAGAAATAACCCTGGCTATTTGAATTTCCCAGGTTGTTTGGACTACACATAAACAGAAATTTATTATATGACCAAAAAACTCAAGAAATTATGTATTATAAAACTTTCTGAAATGTAGCACTTAGCTGTTGGCCTGACCTCTGAGAGTAATACTCTGGTTAAGTGAGGACATTAGGAATGTCCCCTTTCTCCTACAGATTATTTCCTTTGATGATGACAAATTAAATTTGTTGGTTAATGAGGGCCTCTTTTAAAATTCAACCCAGCAGTCATTCACAACTTAGTATGAATTAGGTTTTAACTACTTGATCTCCCTGTAGTCAAGATTCAGGTTTCTCACAGACAATAGAATACTGATCATGGCTGAAGAGCATGAGGCTGGAGGGAGAAGGCCAGATCTTAGTGACTGACCAAATGGCTGAAGTAGAAGTTCTTAGACACTTAGAAAACAGCATGTGGTTCTCTGGGTGGTGTGTGTGTGTGTGTGTGTGTGTGTGTGTGTGTGTGTGTGTGCATGCACATGTGTTTGGGGGAAAGAATTTAGAAAAGAAAGGAAAAGGACCCCAAAATGTATTCTTGCTTACTCTGAAATGTTGTTGATGCTGCCCAAAATGTCTTGGAAAATCATTTCCCGTGTGGCCTTTAGTAGATGGGGGGACCAGAGGTCAGCAAAGTACAGCCCACTGGCCAAATCCAGCCCACTGCTTGTGTTTTGTAAGTACAGCTTTATTGGAATACAGCCACACTCACTCACTTATACCTGGTTGAGACTGCTCTCATGCTGCACCAACAGAGGCTAAGTCGTTGTGACAGGTACCATACTGCTCACATGGCCTGAAATACTTAGTATCTGGCCCTTTACAGAAAAAGTTTGCCAACCTCTGGTCCAGAGGAACTTGAGTGCCAAGAATTATATATGGGAAGCAGTAGAAACATTTGAATTCTCAATTGCCAGGTAAAAGGTACATTTCTCATAGCATTTTGCCCCTTACGATCACAAGGTCATTCTAGTTCTGTCCTCCCACCCGTATTTCTTTCTTATTATACTAATGGCAGTATGATTACGAACTGGTTTAGTAGTTTCTTATCTGTGTTTCACAACACGAAGCTGTGAGTGAAGTTCTGCCGTAGCTATATGCTCAATAACGTCACCTCTGGACATAAAGATGCTACTTATCACTATGGCTTTAATGACTGCAAACTAAAAGAGTTTTCTCCTTTCCTGTGCCATAATTATATGAGGTAAAAATCTGTCAATTATTTTTTTAAAGATTTTATTAATTTATTTGACAGAGAGAGACACAGCGAGAGAGGGAACACAAGCAGGGGGAGTGGGAGAGGGAGAAGCAGGCTTCCCGCGGAGCAGGGAGCCCGATGCGGGGCTCGATCCCAGGATCCTGGGATCCTGACCTGAGCCGAAGGCAGACGCCTAACGACTGAGCCACCCAGGCGCCCCCAATCAGTTATTTATAATTGCAAATTTCACTATAGTTTCATGTTAAGAGAGATTTACATATTCCTTTATTTAATAGGGTGAAGATAGGAAAATACTTGACCTCTGATAATTGGCTAGGCCACATTTTTTAAAGCTGTAAATCATGACTATGCAAGGCAAAGCATTTTTTCATAGTACAGAAGTGTTGTTACCTTTGGCCCTGGAAATCCTTCTCCTGGTAAGCCCCTCTCTCCTGGTGCTCCCTCAGGACCACGGGGACCCTGTTTAGGAGAAGAGGAAATGAGGAGCAGGGAAAGAGAGAGAAGGAGAGAATAGGAGGTGGGGGAGAAAGAAGGCAGAAGGAAGGAAGAGAGAAAGGATTATATTTTGGTTCACACCGGATGCGGTGATACAGTCCTTCTTAAGTTATTAGTGAGAATCCTTCTAGTAAACTCCAGACTGATTAGTAGAATCATAGAGTGGGAAGAATAATATTCCACTTGATTAGCAGAAGATGTTCTATTCTGGTGTCCTCAAATTAGAGGAAAATGGAAATTAAGTGATGCTTCAGAATAAGGACTAGGAAATAAATCCTATGAGGAAAGTCTAAAAATCTAGGACTGTATGGTCTGGAGAAAGTTGCAGAGTGATTAAATAATTGAAAAGTATCAGGGGAGCTCTGTGAAGAAATCACTGCCCAGCGGCTTTAAAGCATTGAATTCTGTTTCCACGTGTTTTAATTTCTATCCTGATACATTTGGATTCAACCTTGAATTCTTTCAAGGACTGCTTGAATCCACTGGACGTTTATGGGCAAATGGGAATCCTGATAGCATCACATTCAGGTGAAGCATGGTTTTCCATCTCAGTGATTCAAATTAAGAAGTCCAGGTAACTATTGCTCAGAAGGGTTCTCAGGGAGGTGCAAACTTCTCACAGAAGGAAAGAAAAACAACACAGTCTCAGCCTTCCAAGTGGGCTGGCAGGAAACATACTAATTGAAAAAATAAAAGGCAACAGCAAGATACTCACTTGAAGTAGGAATTTTTAAAAGGCTACAAATTCTCCCTCTCTTTCTTCTTGGCCAGAAGGTCACAAAGTTAAAAAGGAATTAAAAAGAATCTTAGAAGCACCAACTGGAGCTTTTCCCTCTAAGCGATCTAAAAAGATAATTAGGGCTTGCTTGGCAGGGAAGTGAACCTAAGATGATATAAAGCCGACTGAGTTGCCCAGAAACTCCAAAGCCAGCACACTGCAGACACTCTAAACGATCTGGGGGCTCGATACTCAATAATCCAGGGTAATTTGAGTGGCGCTTTCTCCTGAAGCCTGGTAGCAGACATAGGATGCAGCATTTGCTAATCAGTGACCGATCATAGTTATAGAACTGTAAACAAGAAAGCTAATTGTATCTCATGTCAAATTTTTTTTGCCTTTCCCTAAATATTATATATTTTAAAAGACAGTCTTCTTCAGTATTTATGCATCACCAATTTCATAAAGGCTTTAATTAAAGGAAAAAGCTAATATTTAATTCCATTTAAATTGCTATGCTGATGGGAAACCTAGCTTTTAACAACCTAAGACCTTAATCAAAGTACTAATATCCATGACAGCTTGCTCTAATGTTAGAGAGATTAACTAGGGGAAAAACAAATATAAGCATGAAAACTAGATTGCAAACTAAAAAGGCAAGTGCCTAGTTAACATCACGTAATTTAACAAAAAAATATTGACAAATTATTCCTCTTTCCCAATGATAAAACAAATGAAAATAACACAATTTACATTAAATGCAAAGAAGTCTTTTTCCAGTTCACTCAATTTTTTTTTCCATTCATTCAGCAAATGCCTGGTGGGTGCAAGGCCCTGTGCTAAGTTCTAGGAACAGCAGATAGACCTGCTCTCTTGTCTCATAGAGCTTACAGTTTTTCATGATAATTGAAAGCATATTATGGTGTCATATGGACGAGGGTTCAAGTCCCAGCTCTGTTGTGTGTTAGCAGCAGGATCTCCAGCAAAGAACTTAATCTCTCTAAAGTTCAGCATCCTCATCATAATGGTGGTAACGATAGTACCTACCTCAACCACAGGAGTTAATATAAGGGTTAGATCAGAGAGACGTGACGCTCTTACATACTGAGCATGCAGTAAATATCTGCTATCACTATCAAAATTATCTTACTTGAATCTTGTGATTGCGAAGAATGTCCTTTCAGGGCATGTTTATGAACAGGGTAGCTTCAGAGTGAATGGTTTACAGGAGGCAATATGACAATACAGAGAGAGGACTGCTGCAGAACATAAACCCGGAACCCTTCTTCCATCCCTGCATTTCTGGAGTCTGCCAGCCAAGATGAGAGTGAAAACAATGGTGGTTTTGAGGAGCCATGTGTCTCAAGATGCTGAGAGCCGAGAACTACTACTCGTGAGTAATCTCTTAAAGGCATTTAAAAAAGCAGTGATTCAAGGTTTAATTACTACACACTGTTGGAGTAATATTCCACATCATCAGTACATTCTCATATTTTCCAGCTAAACCAAATGGAAGATGAGAAAGAGCAGGTACTTGGGTTAGATGAACCGTACTTTATTACAACAGTACCGATGGATTATTTTTAAAAGACAGAAATGCTTCTATAAAAAACTCACGGTGTCCTTTTCAAAAGCCATGAGAACCAATCATAATTATGGCATATTTATTTGACTTCTCATGAATGCCTCTAATTAAAAAAAAAAGTGGAGGAATCTAATTATCAGTTAACACAGTCTGATCAGTGAAATGCTTATTTGAGACCTTAATGAGATAAAATGTGATTGTCCGTTATCTTATTGCTTGTTACTTTTCTTAATAATCTCACTAGCGTGGATAATCAATAAAAGTGGTTTTACCATACATTGCAAGCATTAAAAATAAATATGCTAAATGATAACAAAAATTGCCCATAATATTCAAACAGTACCATCTATGTAATTTTTAACTCTGAAGTATTTACAGTTCTACTTCAGGGGGTATTTTTTACTAATAGTGCTCTGAATGTCCTTGTACAAAAACAAAACAAAACAAAAACCCTGAAACCACTGGAAATCATTCAGACAAAGAAACAAACATAAAGGACTTTCAGCAGAACCTTTTTCAGTCTCAAGGTAAGTCTTTATGTTACTTCTAAGTAATTAAAAAACTTGCAGTGTTGGGTTTTTATTAGGACAGTTTGGTGCAAAACATTTTCATACATTATTTGCGATCCGCCCCACCTTTATTATGATTTCAGTTCCCAATTAAACCATCGATGTCACAGTGTCACTGTGATTTGTGTAATTGTGGATTGGAAAGCAAACAAAAAAGAACTTCATGTTCTGGCAGTATTATGAAAACCCTCTAGCTACAAACAAAAAGGCAAGTAATACAAATTTTTCTTTAACATGAATTTTGAAGGAGGTCCAAAAATAAATAAGTAAGGGAAATCACAGGGCTCCAAAACAAAAAGAGAGCGGAACGCTGGGGTGGTACACATAGAAGCTGATGCTGTGTCTGTCCTGGGTGGAAGAGTGTGGTTGTGTGGTAGAAATATGTCTAGAAAAATCTAAGATAGAGAACCAGAAGCAAGGATTTTGGCTCACTCAATGGAAAATAAGGAGAGAATTAGAGCTGAGATAAAGCTCATAAAGCTAGGCTCTGTGCTGGGCATAGAGCGTGCTTAAGATTCTCTCTCACCCTCTGCACCCCACCATGTAGATATACGTATACACACATGCGTGTATAAAAAGACACACATGTATTCTGATACATATGTGCTTTCTAATTAGATTTTTTTAATATTGAGTTTTGAGAGCTATTTATACAATATCAATATAAATCCTTCATCACATATGTGGTTTGCAAATACTTTTTCTTGGTCAGTAGCTTGTCTTTTCATCCTTTTAACAGAGTCATGGAATAAACATTTTCCACTTTCCAGGAGTCCAACTAATCAATTTTTTTATTTTTTGGATCATGTTTTTTGTAACATGTCTAAGAAATTTCCACCAAGCTGTAGTCCCAAAGATTTTCTCTTATGTTTAATTCAAAAGTTTTATAGTTTTGCATTTCACATTTAAGTCTATGAGCCATTTTGAGTTAATTTTTTATAAGGTGTGTGTGAAACTTACTTGAGGTTCAGTTTTTGGTATATGGATATCCAACTGATCCAGCACCATTTGTTGAAAAAGTTATCCTTCCTCCATTGAATTGTTTTTGCACCTTTATCAAAAATCAGTGTGTGGGTCTGTATCTGGATCCTCTATTCTGTTCCACTGATCATGTTTCTATGATCTACCAGAACTGCACAATCTTGATTCCTATAGTGATGTGAATAAAATCCTTTCTTCAACTTAGTTCTTCTTTTTGCAAATTGTTTTTAACTATTCTAGTTCCTTTGTCTTTCCATACAAATTTTAAAATAATCTTGTCCATATCTATAAAAACATCTCACTGGAATATTTAAAAAGACTTGCATTAAACCTTTTATCAATTTAAGTAGATTGACAGCTTTATGAAGTCAAGTCTTCAATCCATGAACGTGGTGTGTCTCTCAATTTATTAAATATTCTTTTATTTCTAGGCACCTGGGTGGCTCAGTTGGTTGGACGACTGCCTTCGGCTCAGGTCATGATCCTGGAGTCCCGGGATTGAGTCCCACATCGGGCTCCCTGCTCGTCGGGGAGTCTGCTTCTCCCTCTGACCCTCCTCCCTTTCATGCTCTCTGTCTCTCGTTCTCTCTCTCACAAACAAATAAAATCTTAAAAAAAATTTTAAAAAATATTCTTTTATTTCTTTCATTGGTGTTTTATAGTTTTCAGGATACAAGTCCTACGCATGGCTTACTAGATTTTTACCCAAGTATTTCTATTTTTTAATGACTATAAATGCTATTATATCTTAAATTTTTATTTCTATGTGTCTGTTACTAGAATATAGGAATAAAATTGATTTTGTCTGTTCTTTGTATCTATGGGATTCATTTGGTTTTTTGTTTTGTTTTGCTTTTAATTTTCCACATATAAGAGAGACCATATAGTATTTGCCTTTCTCTGACTTATTTCAGTCAGTATAATGTTTTCAGAGTCCATCCATGTTGTTGCAAATGGCAAGACTTCATTCTTTTTTATGACTGAATAGTAATCCATTATATATATTCAATAGTAATCCATTATATATATCGATACATATATCCAATAGCAGTCCATTACGTATATCAATTTCTTTATCCACTTATCCATCAGTGAACATTTAGTCTGTTTCCCTAGATTGGCTATTATAAATAGCATTGACCATGGGGGTGCATATATCTTTTCGAGTTAGTGTTTTTATTTTCTTTGAATAAATACCCAGAAGTGGAATGGCTGGATAATATAGTAGTTTTAGTTTTTTGAGGAACCTCCACCTTGTTTTCCACAGTGGCTATGCCAAATTACATTTCCACCAACAGTGCATGAGGGTTCCCTTCTCTTCACATCCTCAACACTTGTTATTCTTGTATTTTTGATAATAGCCATTCTAGCAGGTGTGAAGTGATATCTCATTTTGATTTTGATTTTCATTTCCCTGGTAACTGGTGATGTTGAGCATCTTTTCACATATCTGTTGGTCATCTGTACATCTTCTTTGCAAAAATATCTATTCGAGTATTCTGTCTGTTTTTTGTTATTATTGAGTTGTATGAGTTCTTTATATATTTTAGATATTATCAGATATATGATTTGAAAATATTTTCTTCCGTGCAGTAGATTGCCTTTCTATTTTGTTGATGGTTTCCTTTGATATGCAGAAGCTTTTTAGTTTGATGTAGTTCCAACTTGCTTATTTTTGCTTTTGTTCCTTTTACTTTGGGTACTCAAAACATCATTGCTAAGACCTATGTCAAGGAGCTTACTGCCTATGTTTTCTTCTAGGAGTTTTATGGTTTCAGGTCTTACATTCAAGACTCAAATCCATTTTGAATTAATTTTTGTGTATGGTATAAGATAGTGGTCCAATTTACTCAACATCATTTTTTTAAAGATTTTATTTATTTATTTGATAGAGAGAGACAGATAGTGACAGAAATAGTGAAAGAGAGCACAAGCAGGGGGAGAGGCAAAAGGAGAGGGAGAAGCAGGCTCTCCGTGGATCAGGGAACCCGATGTGGGGCTCGATCGCAGGACCCTGGGATCATGACCTGAGCCAAAGGCAGACGCTTAATGACTGAGCCACCCAGGTGCACCTACCCAACACCATTTATTAAAGTAAGACTGTCCTTTCCCTGTTATATATACTTGGCTCCTTTGTTGTAAATTAATTGACCATATACATGTGAGTATATTTCTGGGCTCTTTATTCTGTTCCATTGGTCTATGTATCTGTTTTTATGCCTATACAATACTGTTTTGATTACTATAGCTTTGTAATATATTTAGAAATCAGAAAATGTGACATCTCCGTCTTTGTTCTTCTTTCTCAAGATTGCTTTGGCTAATCAGGATCTTTTATGGTTCCATACAAATTTTAAGGTTGTTTGTTCTGTTTCCGTGAAAAATGCCATTGGAATTTTGATAGGAATTGCATAGAATCTGTAAATCGTTTCAGGTAGTATCAACATTTTAACAATATTAATTCTTCTGATCCAACCCAGTTATTTTTATGTGTATCTCAGTGAGTAACTTACTGTTCTTTTCTGGGAGAATAATGAATACTTGAAAAGTTAAGAGCATTTCTATACTAGGATAGTCATGTTTTATTCATTTCTTCTCCAGATCTCTTTTGATAGAGACACTTTTTTTTTCTTCTGCAAAAATAGTAAACTTTAAAGCTACATAAGCTAGAAGCTGCAAATAACACAGGTATTACCTGTCTGCCTTCAACTGTCCTTGCTTTAGAGTATACTCATAAGCTAGGTAATGAGCAACGTCCTTATTCTCAATGATTTTCTCAGGGTTCCAGGAAAGTTAGTTACAAAGTATGACCTTAGGCCTGAATCCAGTTCTCCTATCTCCTAGGAGATTTTGACACATGAGATCTCTTTCCTTCTTGGACAAGCTGATTAATCTCGTAAGAGATTTCAGTAAGAGAAAGCCAGTTGTACATATCATGTGTCTGTGGGGTGGAGGGCTCTATTTCAAGTGTTATAAAAAATAACACTCAGATCTGGCCCTTGCATATTTATTGTCTTTTTTTATCCCAAAAGATGCAACATGGGCTTAGTTTAACCATTTAGTCTAACCACAAAGGGCACATAAGAACTATATTTGTCCTTTTTATTCCATCTAGAGTTCCTTGCTACTTACTGGCTGGCCTGGCTCCCCAATGCCAATCGGTCCTGGCGCCCCTGTTCTTCCTTCCTGACCTCTTTCCCCCTAAGAGAAAGAAATAATCAAGTGAAAGTTTGAGTTTTTAAATAAAGAATAAACATAGCACAAGATACTCTGGAGATTTCAACAAAGATATATTCCAAAATAGTCAAGCTTTTCACATTCATAAAGATAAAAAAAAATTCTGGAGGAGGAGAAATGGCTTGAATTTCAGTGAACAAATTACTCTAAAATGCTCATCATCCTGTCTTGCGTAAGTGCAATACACCACTTTTAGCTTTCAGAAGCTATTGTGTGTGTAGCAATTGGCAGGCTGGACTGCATTCAATTCATTTGGGTTCTTGAGAGGACCAAGCTAACAATGCTTGTGCCATTTCCTGCCCCTCTCACCACCATCCTGGAAGGCCACCCTCTCCTTGTCCCCACTCTGTTCCATTTTACCTCTCCTTTCAGTTCTGTTCACCCTTCATCTCCTTCAGAATCTTTGTCCAATCACTCTGCCAATACAAACTCCACCTTCCCTGTAGTCTCAGTATGCTTATTGTTTCAATTCCATCCATGGTGATACTTGATGACACCAGAATTGCCTGTTTTGTTTAGTCCTGCACCAAAGTCTTATTCTAGTCCAATGACATAGAAAAGCCATTTAAAATAAGCACTTCTGTTCCATGACATCCTGCATGATGCAGAGCACTCCAGGGTGCTGGGTGTTGCAGTACCTTTTAGATCCCTACAAACCTTTCTATCAATGCTTACCTATTCAGTGTTATGGTCCTTCTGGTTTCTGCCCCTCTCTGCTTCTTTAATGTGAACAGGTGATAGTTTATATGGTAAGATGTTTCACATCCTGATATCATTTTTGCATGTTAACATTTAAATTCCATGAAAACTCAACAGAACTAGATGTACATTGGCAAAAGTTTGGCAATTGGAGGCAAGACAAATTTTTCATTTCCATCAAATAAAGTTACATTGATTATTCTTGTGGTAACTGCCCCAGTGTCCAAGCACCCACCCGGACTGTAAGTACCTTCTACAGGAAGCCTCCTTGTGTCTAGAGGGCAAAGCTGAGCAGAGTTCACATCAAAGCTTCCCCAGCCCCTGCAATAAATTCAGTACTCATCAATGGGGGGAAAGACAAGAATCGTTACCTTAATTCCTTGCTGTCCAATACCAGGGGCTCCTGGAGGACCATAAGGACCAGGGGGACCTGGTTCACCCTGGAGGAAGAAACAGTTATGCCTTAGGTCAACTCAACAGTATTTATTGAACAGTTCTTAGATGTATAGTGATGCAGTAGGAACTTTGAGGGCAACAGTGAAATCTAGGACACAGTCACTGCCCTCAAAGTATTTACAATCCAGCTGGAAGGACAACATACATCCAGGGTTGAATTATAGCAGGCACAATACCTAGGGTCCATGAAAATGTTTCCATGTTAATGTTTAAAATCAATAAAAAATAAAAATAATAATAATGAATATATAACAACGTGTCCAGTCTGGATTAAATTTGTCTTTATGCCAACTCAGCTGTAATATATAATTTTTAACATTGTTTTATGGAGAAAGAGGCCCACAAAAACAAAAGTTTTTCGGATCCTGCAGCCCTCACTTGTTTGCTCAACAAATCTTTATTCTGTGCTTCTGACAGACACATTTGTTTCCTACCCAATAACCATCCCCTCTCCTCTTTCCTTCCCTGCTATTAGAACTTTGAACTGCTCATGTCAATGGAAAGCTATTCTTTACACTCAGGGCTGTAGGATGAATTGGTTCAATGCAAGTCTAGAATCTCTTTGCCACTGGTTGGCCCTTTGGCTCAGTTCCAACAAATGAGATACGGGGATGTTATTAGGTGCAAAGAGAAAGCTTTTGCCTCTGCCTCTTCTTTCCTAGTTGGAGATATGATAGCTATCTTGTAACCACGAGGTAACAGTCTCTCAGATGAATGCCAACCATTGAAGAGGACGATACAGAAAAATATTTGAAGTGCCCTAGCTCCTGGAAAACCTCATTGAACTTGATCAAACAAAACCTCATTGAGCTACCTACCTTCAAACCTTCTGTTTACTAAACACAAGAATTCTTACGGTGTAAGCCACAATTAATCAAAATGTCTGTTACTAGAAGCCAGAAGCATTTTCAGTAATAGTCTGCTATGTGGCAGACCCATCCTAGAATTCAAGCATCACAGAACTAAATGACACTGAGGCGCTCAAATTTCTCCATTTCACAGGTGAGGAACCAGAGTCCCAAAGAGGTTATGTGGCCTGCCCAAACTCACACCTCAACATCACCCGCAGGTACATGGCTCTGCAGGTTTCTCAAATTTCCGGTCATGCGGCATGTTGATAGGGGAAAGGAGAGTGGCTACTGATTACAATTTCTTTTTTTTTTTTTCTGTTTACCAAAATAATGTATCTTCATTATAGAAAATTTGCCATATATTGAAAAGCATGCACATACAGAAAATTTTCAATTAGCAATAATCACGCCTCGGATAAACCTACTACTAGTTTCTGGTGCATTTCCTTCTAGTTCTTTATGTACACACATACCTCTAATTTATGTGAAGGAAGATTTCTGAATACTCTCGTGTTTGAGTCAATGAATCCTTGGTATTTAAAATTTCATCCAACATATAGATTTCTCTCTTCTCTTCATCCTTGTAGTAATCAGCAGTAAAATGGGACAAGAAGTTGGGACAAACCCTCTCCAGATTGAGTGGAACAAAAGAATTTTCACCAAAGTTAAAGCTCAATTTTCCCTGGAGGCTTGTGATTTTGAAGAGGACTCTTAGTAATGAAAGTAATGTCCTATTGATATGGTAGGGGCATGACTTGAAGGAAGTCTGTGGACTTTGATCAATTGCAAAGGGGGAAAGAGGGGACAAGAAGAAGGGTCAGAGTCAAATCAACTCCCTAAAATCATAACAAAGAAAACCTGTCTCAAAATCAGTTAATTGTGAGAATTTAGGATGCTTGGCATTTGAGTGGATTGGATCTAAAGGTAACTTCAGTTCATTCGTTTAAGTGTAAGTCAATATGGCAGATAAATCAACTTGAATTTTTCCTTTAAAATTCAAAGTTGTACTTATTTTTCTATGTATATTAAATTTTCTGGAGTAGCCAGATAATTGCCCTTCTTATATGTCACATGTTCTTGGCCACAGGATTTCTCCACAAATAATATCAGACATAAAGGTTCTCCCAGATGTGAAGCTGTTTTCTTGATCTCAAAGTTTAAGTGCTAGAGAATATTCAGTTTCTTAATTTAGATTCCAAATTTTCACTTCCAAGAAACTTTTCCTTACAACTTTCTGTGCCACAATCTTGTCAGTTATACTGCGTGTGGGTGACGGTTTCCATCGCTCAGCAAAGGAACACCAAGCACTTACTCTGTGGGCAGTAATGAAGTAAATACAGAGAAGTTTACGCCATTGTCCCTAATCTCAAAGGACTAGTTTAAGAGATAAAACACACCATTAAAATAATAATAACATAAGACCCTAAGTTCCTTATTCTATTCATTCCCTGCCCCTTTTATATTATTTGGTTCTGTAATGGATCAGAAGGCTTTTATATATTATCTTATGTTATATATACATAATATATATTTGAAGGAGAATTTGTTTTTGGGTTTTTTTTAAGATTTTATTTATTTATTTGACAGAGAGAGACACAGCGAGAGAGGGAACACAGCAGGGGGAGTGAGAGAGGGAGAAGCAGGCTTCCCGCGGAGCAGGGAGCCCGATGTAGGGCTCGATCCCAGGACCCTGGGATCATGACCTGAGCTGAAGGCAGACACTTCACAACTGAGCCACCCAGGCGCCCCAAGTTTGTTCAGTAGTGGAAGCTCTGCCCTACTTGTACTTTTCTGTATGTTTGATCTAAAACAAACAAGAGCACAGGTTGGTGAGAAGGTTTCCTCTAAATAAGGACAAGGAATTGGCTCTCTTGTTAACTTGAAATATGTGAATCAGGAAAATCAGTAGGAGAAGCAATTGTCTTGCTCTCAAACCCATGAGCTTCCGAAGCAACTGTCTTACCCTTAAATCCATGAGCTTCCTTTAGCTTTGGTCAAGCACCAATAGTCACTGAGCAATTTCTCAATACTGCTTTTTTAGAGAAGGTACGGGGATCTGAAGGTTATAGAGGGATCACTCTCCCTTACCTCAGCACAGGTCAGTAGTAACATATTTTTACCTTTCAGTTGTTTAAATTTATTTCTAAGGAGCTTAGCATCTCAACATAAGGCCTACAGATCACATTGGCCTACAATTAATGTTTATCCCATTCATACTTCTCTTTTCCCTTTCCTACAAAGATTCCCCAGATGGTAAAGGAAATGGTCCTGATTGTAACATACCATCACTGGGTAAGACAGAACAGGAAGAGAAGAACCAGCGCTCTACTCACAATGATTTTCTGGAAGTTCACCAAGGCCACATAGCCCATTATTCCTACCCCAACCTTCACCAGGAAGCAAAAGCACTCACAGAGAGGTTGAATGGCCCTAGTGCTACTTGTTATTTCTCTACTTCACTTTCTTTAACCATCAGAAGTATATCCAAAGAGGACTGAGTTAAAGTGGATGGCCCTGGAGGGGGTCTGTTTCTCATGACCTCCAAATGAGTATAAGAATAGGCAGGGACATTGAGGAAGTTAGGAAAACCACCATTTCCTCAGAAATTAAGGATGCCTATGCTATGGGTCTCAACATTGAAGGAAGCCAATGTCTAATAAAACCTAGTATTTCCAAGTACTGCCCTGACACTTTATATACATTATGTCACTTAGTCTTCTAATAATCTTAGGAAATGGGTATTTTTTTCTATTTTATGATGTGAGATGTAATCACCACTTTTTAATCCATTTTTCAGCATGCATAGAATCACAGAAAAAAAAAACATGGCTTTTTTTCATTTAATCTAGTTGAATCCTGGCTCTATAATTTACTAACAGTTTGAGCTTTTGCAAGATCCCCATATGCAAAATGAGGATAATTATATCTACCTTGCAGGGCTGCTGAGAGGATGCAAGATATTGTCTATAAAACATCTAAGTCACAACTAATCACATGATAGCTGTTTAATATGTGTAGATTCAATTGTTATTCACCAGACTTTCATTGAGCACCACCCTGGTACTGAGTACCCAGTTACATAATTATAGACATAAACCAGATTACACCTGCACTTTGTAGACACTTACGATCTGGCTGGAGAGACAAATGAATATAAAAGAAAATACAAGCATGTGAATTACCTGTAATAAAGATATTAAGAGAGGATGTAAGACTCAGATGCAGAAATGTTTAATTCTACCTTAAGGAACTGGAAAAGTTTCGTATAGTAGAGGAGATATTTGCTCTGAACAAAAAAAAGTAGGAATCATATCTAATCTGGTAGAAAAGAAGCAGAACAAAAGTTCAGGAAAAGGAAAGAGTATGAAGCATAAAATGATGTGAAAATTTCCGGGGACAATAAGCAGCTCTGTGGGCTCAAGTGGACAAGAATAAGGCAACAATAGAGTCACTGTCTAGAGCAGCACCATCCACTAGAAATATACAATGAGCCACATATGTAATTTTAAATTTTCTAGTAGCCACATTAAGAAAGTAATAACATATTTTACTTAATACATCTAAATATTATCATTTCAATATATAATATAAAAACCTTATTAATGATTTTATTTATTAACACATGTCTTTGAAATCCTATGTGTATTTAACAATTATAGCACATCTCCATTTAGACTAGCCACATTTCAAGGGCTCAGTAATCACATGTGGCTACTGTATTGAACAGTGTTTGAGGAGGCCAGAGGCTCAGGTCAGAACCATGGAGAGTACCAACAATTAAGTGGGGTGGGAGTAAAAGAACACAGAAATGTCCTGTGGGGAGTTGAGGAAGACAGTGGCTGAGAAAAAGAGATGGGAACTCCCAAAAATAGTGTGATAGAAGTCAGGAAAGAGAATTTCAAAAGGAACTCATCATCTCCGAAGACAAACTCCCACTCTTCCCCTCGCAGAACTGATCATCTTCCAGCATTCTTTGTTTCAGGGAAGAGCACCATAATCCCTCCATGAGTCAAGACAGAAGAAGGAGTCATTCTTGACACCTCTCACTCCCGTACCCACCATGTGTAATGCATCGCCACCGCTTTTCCATATGTCTTCTAAATCTCTTTCAAATCCATCTACCTCTTTATTCC